AAACAAACAAAACTTTCTATTTTCTTCAGTTTTCCAAAGATAGAAGTAAAACACGATGCTTCTTGTTACAATAAAAGGCAGAATTACAGGATCTAGGACGAGTTCTGCTCTTTCAAATCCTAATGCATATGTTAATAAAGAGAACGAGAGTTGATCAGTACAGAGGTCAGCACATACTGATATCATATAACGGTTTCAGATGTTATCACTGCAATCTACCCTTTAAACCAAAACAAAAGGTTTCAATGTTAAAAAAAAAAAGAAGAGCACTACTAAAAATTAAAAGAATTGCACAGGCCTGATTATAAATGAAAATGATTAACCAACAAACAAGCAAATGTTTGACCAATGCTATCCGTTAAAATGAATCATCTCCAATGAACAACAATTTCTATTTGAATAAGCAGGTTTGCTACTCAAGGAATGTCTTTGAACTGTGCGCATAAAGGCACAACAGACAAGTGTTTCTGCTAGACAGACCAACTAGAAATGAAGCATGCAGCTACAATTAAATATAGTAGTGTTCAGGACCACTCTTCCACAGGACAACAACACAACAACATACCATACTGAAAGCAAACTGATAAGACATAAGTATTACATCCATGTTCTCTGAAAGAAAGCGTGATACGCGGTGATGGCTTTCGAGAGCTACTGAGGTACACTGAGTCAAAGTCGGCTCCTGTTATGGCATTAATGTTAACTGAAACTAATAATAAGTGCTAAATGTGATACATATAATTTAGATTCTAAATGTAAACATAACCTCAGAATACAAATCCATACATATTTTTACATACACACATATACATAACACACGTGTACATACACACATACATATACATATGTAAAATTCCAGTTATGTCATCATTTTTACTCACAAACATATTGCTGTCCCTTGGTTTAAACAATACTGGGTTCTTTTGTATGACACATTTAATACAGTTTCAGGCAATTCACTTCATATACATGCTTATGTCTGGCCTCACCTATCAGTACCATGTTCCGTTATCCATACATGCAGGACTTTTTAATATCTCTTAAAATAAGAGGAATATTGTAGCATGGGGCAGAGCTACCCAGACGTCACTGCAGTTTTGGTTTCTTTTAATTTCTCATTTTTATCGGTTCTTTTTACAGAAAAGCTTTGTGTTATAACGTTATCCTCATGCTAAAGGTTAGGTTTCTGTTATGAGGCTTACTGTTTTTGTTTGAACCATAATAATAATAATAATAATAATAATAATAATAATAATGATGATAAGTCTGTTACAGCATTTTTACACTTCATATTGGTCCCTTTTCAAATCAAAATGTACAAAATTCTGTCTGCACCTTCACATTTTGAAAACCCTTCTCATGTTGTGGAAATAAAAGCAAGCGAGGCAAAATAAAAATGGCATCCAGCGCGAATATGAAGCGGAGCAAGAGGTCTCTCACGGGAATGGTTCTGAGCACAAAGGGCAATGTCTAATGGGTAAGAGGGTGAGTCAGTGTGCTCTTACGCATGCCTGTTTCTGTCCCTCTCCACCATGCTAACAGCCCCTGCTCACATGACAGGCACCATGGAAATGCTTATCTTTGCCGCCCAGCAACGCAGACCTACGGAGGATGAATTCATATGAATACCCCCACTGTACGTAAGGCATGTGCAGGAGTAAAAAACACACTTGATCCATGCAAGTCCATAGTCCAGCAGTCTGTGACCTACTCATCTGGTGCAGTTGTAATAGGACATCGGTGTTATACATCCTACAACGGTGGACAAATCATACAGGTAATTGAAAATAGAGATATATTAGCATTATAGTGGTATTAGTTGAACTGAACATGAATGTGCTGTAAAATAACTTCCAGAATGTGAACATCTGGCAAAATAGTTTTAACATGAGATCCTACATTTCAATGTTGTAAAATACCACTGAGATTTGTTTTACTAATATGGTATTAGCCTGAGTTAATTTCATGAGTCAACTCAAACTCTATGATCTTATTTATTTTATTTTAAAATGTTTACAAATCAGAATTGTTAAATATGGCTTGTCCTCCTCTATGAAAAATAACGGATCACTCAAATATCACACTCTGAAGCCCGCATGCAGAAATATAATGACTCAATACATTCCTGGTATCAATGTTGTCCATCAATATTAGGTTAAATCAAAGAGAATGTGCATTAGTCTGAAATGTTTCTGTTAAAATGCCTACAGAATATGAATGCAATGTTAAGAAGCTGATGCACTTAACAGAAGTGCTTTCAGCTTTAGATCAGAATGAACAAAATGATCTTGCAGGCTGCGTTCGCATTTCTGGATGCACACATGCCTTTTTTCATTTACTATGATCACTATGTGGGCAACAAACTGTAGAATTAACTCTAAGCTATTCTTGAGCTTCTGTAATGGTTTTCAGAGGCGGTATAACACACACACACACACACACACACACACACACACACACACATCATAGAAAATAATCAGTCTTAAAAATATTATGAACAACAAGAAATAGGCCAGGACTACACAGCAGCAAGATAAGTTGTAAACAAATGCAATTTGTTATCTAGTTGGGTTTTCACTATCACTATCAGATGTTTTTACTTTGACGGAGGTGAATAAAAAAAAAAAGCTTACTATGGTAATGTGGAAATCTGTTCTACTGCAGAGTCAGAACGAGAAACACAGACGTATGTTACTGTAAACATGAAGTAACAGCAGATAAACCCGCAGGAAAAAGAGGTTTCCGACCTATGCAGTAGCACACATTAAGAAATAATTTGCTAGCAGCATATTGATATCAGAATCTTATCTTTATTGGCAGATATTCGCTTTTAAAAAAATTATCAGCATCAGACAGATGTTTGGATATGAACAATATTTGATGACGTATTAACTGTTCTCCTGAAAAGTGGAATGTTTAAGTGATGCTGAGCTACTGTGCTAAAATATCTGTATTTTATTCATGTTACTGCATTTGTAACCTGTTGTATTTCTTCATAATGCTAATCCAGTGGGATTTACTCCCTATTCCACAATATAGAAAAGTTTACGTATCTGCAGGTATGTACGTGAAAATATTGGATATCAGCATCTGCACACAATTCCCATACTGGTGCATCCCTTCTATTTTTTCATTTAATTTTGCATCGAGTTGCTCTTTCTCCTGCTGTTTTGCTAAAAACTCTGCTGGCCTTGCCCACTTAGACCGTGCAAACCCCCAGTCATTTATCTAATGTAAACAAACCATACAGAAGACAAGCAATTTTACTGCTGTCCCGTACCAGAAAACCTGACAGCAAATGGGCTCTCTTTAACTGAAAAATTTCTCCACTTTGAAAACAGCCCTCCGTAACTTCTCATATGAGGCCTTGTGCATGTAGCTAAATGCCTGAAAAGAGGGTCAATGGAAAAACAACAGGAACCGCAAGCTCTTGTTGGCCAGTGGCCCAGTGGAAAAGTGGGATCTCTGGATAATCCCTAATATGTCATTTTGCAAGTGTGTGAGCACAAGACTAGAGTGGGCGTAGAGATCCGATTTAGGTTCCGTAATAAGAAGTGAAAGTTGAATATTTTGCCCAAAACACACAAAGTGTCAAAGCTGAAATACTGAGACAATCATGACGATGCACATAGACCTTCAGAAATGAAGCAGCTACAATACTGCAAATTTGACCTAAAAAGTAATAAATAAATAAACACATCAATACCTTTACATATATTAAATCAAAAGCTCATTTTAGGGGGAAGACAAATTTCAGAAAGTCTTCAAAATATAAAATATCACTGTCTAGTTAGGTTATAATTAGAATGTCCACGTTATATGCTTATTTTAAATCAACTCGCACAAAAATGATGACTTGCTTTATGTTTATGTAGGTAGTTCTGTATAATGTCATGTTAAACGAGTAAAATATCATGTGTGATATTACAGCTTGTGTGTGTAATTGGTGCCTCGTAGTGTACCGCCTGATGGGTGTCGATGTAGTCCTAGTAAACAATGTAGTAGCGAGTTATGTCATCAAAAAAACACCGTTAAGGAAAATCAGAAAATGTGAGCATCAAGGCAAAGACGCACGGCGCTCGCTTTCACTAGAGCAGCTGAAGACGCCTTGATATCGTCCTTTAGACAAAAGGCTTGTGTGCGAAGGACGGACGGTCGGTCACCCAGCAGAGAAAGCTTTGTGGTAACACGAAACGCTGAGCTGAAGGGCCAGGGTGTCTGTTTTGCTAACGTTATTGCAAAAGCTAGATGCACCCTCGTGGCGCAGATGCGACCGTTTAAAAATACAAACACATGGTACTTTGTAGAAAGAGAATTAAAAAATCTATACAGACATGAACATGCCTGCCTGCATATCTAGACAGACAACTGTCAAACAAACGCATTCAAATCGCAATTCCAGTCTCCACACGTTCTGAAATATTGTAATAAATGCACAGCTGGCTTTAGGTTGCGAAATGTGCACTTCATTAAAATGTAAAACGTGAAAAATAAATTCAAAATACTAAATACAGAGGCTCCTGTCGGTGTTGCAGACTGCGCCACCCCTACTCGCACAGACAATAGCCCACAGTAGCGCTGGAAATAAAGTCGCCCCTTCAGCGCTTCCCTCGCCTGGTAACGTTTTGTGCTAACGTTAGTTGTGCTAACAGCGCTCGCATTCCCTCCAAGTCCTGAACGACCAAACCTGGCTGTCACTGCTGCCTTTCCGTCGTCGACACGAGTAGCTAGCTTTCACTTGCAGCTTCGAGGCTAAATAAAATATCGTCCCGAGCGCTCAGAATGTGAAAAAAGTATACACAACAAACTGGACAGAGCTACAACACCACACGACACGATATCTTCCGTAACTATGAAAAAAAGAACCGCTGAATTAACGCGTTTAAGTTAGCTGCCTAGCTAGGTTAGCTCGCTACGGTTAACGTTAGCTCAATGCCTTCTTTCTCCTGTGACCAAAAAGAAGCCAAAAGGGGGAGTTTAATGTTAATTTTACTACTCACCGTAGAGAAGCTTTCTTCGGCGGTTCGCGTCCGAGCTTAAAAACTCGTAGCGTTGTTCCGAAGTGTGCAAACTGTTTGGATAAATGCTGAAAAATGAGCGTTTAACCCTGCAACTGTGTGACGTTTGTATCCAGCTTACGGCTGGTTTTGAAAACATCCCCAGTCAGTCCCTCCGCCGTCTCTAAGAAAAGCCCAGCAAAAACACGAGAGCGCCGCGCTGATTGGTCCAGGCTCAGCCACGTGACCGCTCCAGCCCTGCCGAGCTTAAAAGGTTCGCCGTCTGCTGCTTGTGGTAGGATCGCGCCTCTTTATTTTCTTACCCGTTTCTATACTCGCGTAGTTCTTCGCACCAGCCTTTGCTTTATACTTCTGTGCGTCCTCCTAGTCATATTTCTCTCGGCGTAATTTTCTTATCGACATTTGAAATTCTCTTACGAAAAAAAGCCTGAACACGCTTTGGGAGAGGGTGACGCGCTCAGGCGCTTGACGTCATCTTTTCCGTTCGGCGCTGCAGCTGCTGGGAGGAAGGTTCTCGAAAAAGAGTCTGAGGCTCGAACTGAGGGGTCGTAGAAGAGTGGAGTAAATATGATTTTCTCTTTCATTACATACTTTGTGTACATTTTATCCTCTTTAGCGGATCTGCAGCGTTGTTTGTGCTTTATTGTGTCGAAGCTCCGTGTCGCGCTCGGGCATGTTGTGGCGCAGTGGTATTTTGCATTATGTAGAAAAGCTTGCGCATGCGCAGTGGCGGCCATTATGTTGCAGAACAAGCTCTAATCGCATGGGAGTAGCGATGGGAAGTTCGATTCAGTACTGCCGAACCGATTCTATCGAACTGTCCGTTTCAACGATTAATTGATTCACAAGTGAAGTCACCTTATTCTCACCGCATTTACCGTAACTTTCGCTTCAGCCAGTTTGAGCTCCAGTCTGCTAGGAGTACTCACTAATGTAGACGAGGCTGAAGTTGGCTTCTTATTTGCCAGCTTTTTATTTTAGGGTTCCGTTCCACCTTGAACGGCGCAGCATTTACATCCTGGCGCCTGTCTTGGCGCTGTAACTGCTGCGCCATTTAAGGTGGAACGTAAATGTAAACCGAGAAATCAGCTTCAGCCTCGTCTAATGTAGGCAATTACATTAAACAGTTATTGCTTAAAGTGCACAGACACAACAGAAACTCAAACCAGCTGCAGTCTACAGAGAGCAAATGTACGCAAATTTTAAATTAAAATACACGTGTGGTATTTTTATGACTGCGGAAAGTTAAACTACGAAAGATTACTGTTCTAATAGAAGTCTTAATTCTCTAACGTGCGTAGTAAACACTGCTACCGAAGTTCGTATGCAGTTGTAATTCGGCTCAACTGAACTGTTGAAAAGATCCGGTTCAAAAGAACGATTCGTTCACGTCGCCCTCGTCGCTACGAGAGAAACTGCTGTTGGAGGGAGGAGGGGAGTGGAGAGAAGAGGAGAGGGGGATGGGCAGTGGCTAGACGAGCGAGAGGGTTGAATGAAATGTGGCAGCTAACACGCCAGTATGGTGTACTGTAACGTTAGTGGAAGCAGCGATTGTAATGTGAAGGCGTGCAGTATATGTGGTGGGTGGCATGGCATGTCTGTACAGCTAATGTGGTCGTTTGCCGTGTAGGTATCGAATGCGCAACTGCGAGGGCGATTGGTTAGTTTGGGGCTGAAGTGAGGCATCATTCAGATAAGCTGAGAGGTTCCTTTGTATGAGTAGTAAAATACCGTAAGCGATCTGCAAACCTGGTTGTAGTGAAGCCACGTCGACAAAAAGCGCGTTTGTACGCTTTTCAGCTGTGCTGTCGTCTTTCACGTGGCTGAACTGAACCAAATTCAGCCGTGCGTCAGTTGCTTTTGAGGAGTCGTTCTAGCTGATTCTGTCCGGACTGCTGCCATGCAGTTCTGTTTCTGCTGTGAACAATATTAATTCCTCTCAGTCTGCATTTGACGGTGCAGTCCGTTCGTGAGGCAGATGACTACAGCTGTCTGTACAAATTTACATTATTATAGTAGTTTTAGGATATGGTACAAACAAGATGCTCATTATCTTTTAGATGGAATTGATACAATTATAAAAACATTAGATTATCTCAGTCTCGAGTTAGTTCTTCTAAATTTAGCAACACAGATGTGCAAACAGTATGCTAATTCATATAGGAAAAACAATTAGTCAAGTAAAAAGCACCACACTGCTCTTTTAGGTACAATTAACGTTTTATTTACACTCACAAATTACTGTGATTTTTGAACAAACTCATCAAGTTAGGTGAGGGCCTGTAATGCAGTTGGTCTCTCTGAGGTGGTTATAAGTCAGGCCTGACTCCAAAACCAGGCCCAGGAGGGGGTTCAGTCAGAGAAGTCAGACCACCTGCAGGTTCACATGAGAAACGGCCACTCCTTTGTAGAAAAAGAGAGAAGAAAAAGATCTTTAATATAGACACTTGTGTAGGCAGTTAGTGTAATTAAACAGCAAATAAAAATGTAATATTATGACGTGTCTGTGAATGGGGAAATGATGTCTGTGAATTGAAAAAATATAAATATAAATGTTTGTGTACAAATTGTTGAAAACAAAGGAGTAGACTATGAGCCTGATAGACAAAGGACAATGTTTGAAAGGCACTACTCAATATAAATACAAACTAGACGGGTAGTCGATCTAAACATTCATCATTTTAAGAACTGAATAAATCACTTACAAAAATTAAACATTTTCAACAGCAACCATTCATGGCATCTAGGGCTGAATGATTTCTGAAAAATATCTAATTGTGATTTTTCTGACCAATATTGTGATTTAAATGCTATTATTTTTTTTTAATTACGTTCTAGTCCTTTTTTCACCAAGAAATGCAGCACATCCATTTTTACAGGCTTAAGGCTTAAACACAACATAGTGTACCACTTCACAAGCTCTGCATTATTAGGTTATGTTTCTCCATTTGAAACCTAAGACAACTGTGAAAAATGTGGAATATAATTAAAACTGAAGCTTTGTGACTCTTGTAAACTGCAATTTCATTTTAAAACAATGAATTTTTCAGCCGTAATGTCACCACAGCTAGGGATGCACGAAGATCTCTTTTCACATCTGTCTGGGTAGAAAATTGCATACAGTTCACCACAGTAGTATCAGTTTGATATTGAGATATAGCCAGAGGTGCTGGCTACATGATATGCAAGTATACACTATATACCCACTAGGAAACCACTAGCCCACTCAAATTCGTATTGGCCATTAATTCCGTTGCATGTGAAATTCAACAAAATTCTAAAAAATACTGTATCATTATTAAACACATATTTTGAACAGCACTGGGAATAAAAATCCCTTCACTCCTCTTCAAGCTGGCTGACAAAAATAAAAAATGTTTTAGATGTTCTTCAACTGCAAGTCACACAGATGTTACAACGAACAACCACTAGCAATGCTTCTACCATCTTCTGCCCCTTTACGCCACTTGATACAACCCAGTAATATCAAAGTTCCACAGAAAAATCCTTGCTTGCTGCACTGCCGCAATGCGATAACCTCACGTTCACATCCTTGCATACTTATGATTTAAAGTTAACATTAGCTATAAATACAAAATTAAAGTACTGAACATTATTCAAGATAGTACTGAAAGTAAAAACATGCAGTGAATGTATTTACATTGCTGTGTGCTAAGCAGGCTAGTTGTTAACAGCTGTTTCATCATGTCACTACACAACACCACTGGATATAACCAGCCAGGGCCAATATAACTTAATATCCTGTACTTCTAACCGTATATAAGGTACCTTTTAGCATGTCAGCAAAGTTCGAGGAGAAAGCAGCAATGACACAAATGCTTAGAAAGGGTGATCACGCAGTAGGTGTGGGCAACATAACGATAATTAGTGTTATCTTGTTTAGTCACATTACATCGCAATATGCTTTTCTGAGCGTATTAAGTATATTGTTAGTACATAAAGAACAAATGATATGATTCATTAAAAATGCAGCATGATTAGTCCTAATTATAGTATTAAGTGCGGTGCAGTATGTGAAATGTTGAATAAAAATTATTGTACTTAGACTTTTTGATAGTCTTTCTTTTGAATGTAGCACTACTGGTGCTTTTTTTGAATCAGTTCCAACTTATTAAAAAATTGTGATGCATTTCATGTATTGTTATGTCTGAAGTATCTTGATGTTATGTGTGTCAAATCGCCCACCCATATCATGCAGTCCCACAAGAACTTTAGCTTCATCAGCAATAATAGCAAGGAAATACATATACTTGGTTAATTTTCCTTGTAGCACATCAAGAAAAACAAAGATTCATTAATTTACAGCGGTTAGCTGTCTCTCTCCCCAGAGTTCACGATGGAAAACATTACACAAAACAGAAGTAAAGAGATCTTTATAGTTATTACTCAGCGACAACAAGTAATCCACTAGAGGGAAATGCCTTCATACCTGGGCCCAGGTGGAGGGACTCTCCCTGCCTTCAGTTCATCAAGGATGTGCTCAATGTCCGAAGGCTTCAGATCCTCCTGCAATGCAAAAAAAAAGCCAACACAGAGATAAACTCTCGTTTCTTACAACACGCCACATGATTTAGCACTTTCAAGAAATCTATAAAACGTGAGTGGTAACTGTTTCAAGCTTTGAACACTTTGTAAATGCTTTGAAACAGGACCACTCTGGTTACTTGGAATAGCAACTAGCCCCAGGTAAATTCCCACTGGGCACTACTTGTGAAAGTGTGACAGTAAATGCAAGTCCGTAAGGAGATATGACTCGCTGACCAGACCTCAGTTGTTTTTAGCCTAAAACCAGTTGCAGCTATGAGTTGCTCTTTTGCTCTGATCCACAAACAGGCCCCATTTGAGACTTCTCTACCATAAAAGGAAAGCTTTCCCAGTTGATGTGGCTACATGTGTAATGGAAGAAGCACATATTAGCCATTATCTTACCAGACTGCCCAGAAATTGGGCAAATATTTGGCAAAAAAGGTAACATTTGATAAAACTGTGAGGCTGTATACTCCACACTACTAGAAGCAGCCAGGCCGATATCAGATAAGTGGCAAACAGAAACTCCCACCAACAACCCAGAAGCAGAGTTGATGATTAACTGTAGGAGTGGAACCTGCTAACCCATTTTTAGCTGCCGAGTCTTAGCAAGTGACTGACTTTCCATTTAACTGTACGAGCTCAAAATTAATTGCATCATTGCCCAAGTAGTTCATTATCAGCACTATGTAACATAAGTAGGGTTTACCCCAGAAGTCAGTCTTTTCTGAGTCATTACTCCATAAAGATTTAGGAGATAAACTGTATCAAGTTGGAACACACACAGTGTTGTTCTAATTACCCCTGAATAACTCATTCAGACAAAAAAATCTCTCCACATGATAACTGCACATTAAAAGTGCACAAAAGCATCATATATTAGGGCTGCAATGGTTAGTCAGTGTTACTGATGTGAAACATTTATCAATGAGAATTTTCATAAAACACATCATTCATATAAGAAAGATATAAATACCCTCTTAGCCAAATGACTAATTATTTAAATGTTAAACTAGGGTCACTTACAAATAGCCACTTCAGTAACAGACTTGTCAGATTTTTAAACAGTTTCAATGCACTATACAACTGTTTGAAAAAAAAACCCTCACAAAATATTTGTGCCCTGATCAGACACATAAAGAACAAACGTAAATAAACTAGTCATAAAAATATGATGCTTTTTATGTGTCCCTACTTTGATTACAACACATTTGCAGGATTGCAAAGGGTTCTGACTCTACAAGTAAATTTCTTTCTTGCTATGTTTACTTAAGATCTGAGTGAAACTATTCCCTAAGGGTGTGTTCACATGCACCATTTTTCCCACCAAGTGCCACTGCCTACTTTGTGTGGACTCCTGCTGGATCCAACCACAAGGCACGCAGGCTGGAGCACAAAATGTGCACTTTTTAGAACAGCACTCAATGATGTCATCTGCCGTTTTATCAATCGGTCAATCACAACAAGAAGAAAAGCCAGCTCACATGCGCAGCGTTTTTACTGAAGTGCATTTTGGGCTGTCATCAGGGATGAACAACCCAGTGTTCAAGTAGAATTTCTACACAGACAAATGTTTGAATCTGCAGTTGGATTTGTTATACGTTGAACAGGAGCTTGATTTGACACAACCCTGTTAAGTCTGATATTGCATACTATATACATATACAATAGTATGTACAATAATAATTATACATATATAAAATATGTCATACTAAGTACATCATAATACAGCATCTAAATGACTGGAATGTTTTTGGACAGATTATAAAGACAAAGCCAGTTACTCCTATGAACCTATGCATGTTTTCATTTGGACTGTCAAAAAATTTAAAATAATCGCATTATTTTGTGTAGTTGATTGCAATTGACTGCTTTTATATATGGTTACATCTGTACATGTGAGCTGCATTTTTCATACCACTACAAAAAGCACTCTAGCTCGATGCCAACAACTGGCTATAAAGGGTAAAAAAAAACTTAATTCTATAATGTTCAAAAATGGTAATAACAAAGGGATGTGACTGCATCCATAGGTCATGATGACTTACTAATTTAAAAAATTAGTAAATAATTTTGGTGTCACTGACTACCTCAGTCAGTTACCAAATTAAACAGTATACTTTGCTAGATTCATTGAATTTCAAGAATGAGCAAGAAAGCAAACAAATTAGTGTTTTTTTTTAACAAGGCCCAGTTTCAATACAGCATTCAGTAAGAGTGGAATTTAAAAAGATACATACAAAGACTGATATTTAATTTGTAAACCTAAAAAATGACCTTTTAAAAACACACATAGCAGACTTTTAAATTAGTTGGTAGCTTTATTTGTACCTGTGACTGGCTAAGGGAAATAACGTGGTTTCACTATTTCACTGTTATGATTGTTAGATGAACTTGCAGGAGAATCAAGCTCAAATTGCGACTAAAAGTTTTAGTTCCACCTAAATTAGGGGTGGACAGTATGACGACGTGTCGTTGTTTTTTGTGATTAATTACATCACAGTACTATTTTGAGTATAACATGGGTATCGTCAGTACTTCTAGAGCACTGTTATTATAGTTAGCCTGTTGGTTACTAATTGTTTAATTTCTTTATATCATTTTTTAAATCTTCTACTAGTTTGTTGGTGCATTTTGTCTGTTCCAACTTGTTCCCAAACCTCAGAAACCTGACTGCAAACTGCATATTGTGAAAATGTCAAGTATCATGGTGTTGTATTTTTGCAATTTTGCATGCTTTCAATTTTAGTATAACAGAATTATGTTGGGCAAGCTTTGTTTAAGAGTGCAAATGAACTTGTAATGTCAATAAACTGCCATATTTCATAAACAAACTGAATAGTGCATATTTTTTTATACGTTTCTCAGCTGCTATTGAGTTCTCGTCCATTCTTGTTTGTGATGCCCTTTCATACCTCCGTTTTCTGCAACTGGGCACTCGTGTACATTGGTTACTGCCTTTCTAAGTGGCCCCAAACACCAGACAAGAATATGCCAACTCAATCTGCACATTACAAGGACAGAAGAATAGCCTCCCCTAGAGGTAATAATAAAACCAGTCTACTTTATGATACATTCTCCTAGCACTGAGACGGTTCAAGGCCTGTATAGCTGTACTTACATAATAGTTGTCATTGATTTGGACCATTGGAGCATTCACGCATGCGCCAAGACATTCAACCTCTGCTAGCGTGAACAACTTGTCTGGTGTGGTCTCCCCGACTTTGATACCTAAGAGAGAAAAGAAAAGTGAAAGGTTTCTGCTCAAATAGCAGAAATACAGAAACTAATCCTGTGTTTTATCAAGTGTGTGCATAAGTTTACATGTATTAACGTCTTTTTACGATTTACATGTATTCACAAACTGAATATCTGTTTAAGCTGGCACGAAGTTAATTCCTAATATCCTAGTCCAATACTAGTTTGAGTCTGATCCAAAGTTTGCTTGGGGAAAAAAATCTGCTGCCTGACCAGCACTCCTGTTCATTGTTGACGCAGAGCTTGTGCAGAATGTTGCTGCTGTTCTAACAAAACCTTGTCTGGAAAAAACGATAACTTTACAGGAGGAAAAAAAGCTCTTAATGTTAATGTATGCTATTGAAATTTTCCCACTATGTAAAGGGCAGGTGGTATTTTCGAATGGTGTAAAAATAGGTTACAGTGTTTTCATATGAACGTCCTTCACCAGTTAAAGTGCAAAAGGCCCCCTATTTCCCCTCTGCCATCTCTCAGGCTTTTTGTAAACATGTCAAGATGTACAGCAAATTCATTCATGCTTCACCACAAGCACCTGTTCTGTGATACGTCTTCTGCGCATGTGTGACGTCAAGGCTTGATTTATCAGCTGATGAGGTTCTCTGCCATCGGGATGTCAGCCCACAGCGCTACAGCCTGAGCTGACTTCACTCACTGCTCTCCTAAATTAAGCCTGATTGGGAATGAGTGGTTTATAATGACACCAGCTACCTATGAGAAACTCGGAGCTTGCTTTCAGAATGTAGCCCTCTGGTGGAGTGCAGGGGCACTGTTTACTTACCCAGTTTGTTCTGGATGGCTTGCAGGATGCTGTCCGAGTCACACAGCATGCATGGTGTAGTGGTGCACACCTGGACATGGTACTTCCCCATCGGCTGGCGGTTGAACATGGTGTAGAATGTGGCTACCTCGTATACTCTCATTGGGGGGATCTCTAGGATTTCTGCTACCTGGAGGAAATGTCACTTTCAGATGAGTTGGAAGGAAATGCATACTACCCTGAAAATCACTGCTGTGAAGGTCAACAAGAGCAAGACAAATTTCCTCTGAGGTAAAATAAATTTAACTGAAAACACAATGTATGTTTTTTTTTAGCTTACAGTTATGAGCATCAATACTTTCAGCTTTTCAGCTTTCAAAACTACGATGACAGATATACAAATTCATTGCTAACAGAAATAACTCACAGAATCAACGTCACGTCATGCTGAATCATAGAATCATCCCGTCATATTGTCAGGGTTCTTTGTTTACATGCTACAAATACTCACATACACGGTGAGAGCTTGACGGAGTTGCTGTTTTATTGTGATTTTTAAGCCTTGATGTGCTGAAAAGTGAATCTTAACTCCAGAGGGGATGCCAAACAACAGTATACGGATACAATTACCTTTGCTGTTGATGTGGATACATACAAACTCCCAAACAAGAGGTGGAGTAATGATCTGGATATGCTACCTTTTCTTTTCCTAGCTGGTCTGTTACTCAGGTGTCAGTTCTTTTGAGTAATTTAGAATTACTTGTCCCTCAAAACCCATGTACAGTTTAAGTACAGTAAAGGGCATATTTACTGGTATATTTAACTCAGGCACTGGCATATTTCACTGTAGGTTCCCTTTAACAAGCACTGCTAGTCTAGCTAGTTAGCAAACTAATAACATTACTACTAAACTGTACTATATTAAAACCTACCCCAAAACAATCCAGTTTGTACCCATAGAGGCAGTCAATCTGAAGTCTTTAAGATAAATAGACAAACGATATGGATCAGTTTTCACATTGGCTAAGGTTACTAGCCCCGTCACATCATAACTTAACTTAGCTAATACATTTTACCTGGAAAACAGCAAACTTGTGAAGTTAGCTGATACAAAATATTATAAATTTTACTTGAACAGTCAACAAAGTAGTATTTACAAGTGGCAAACTGGGGATTCTAGATGACATGAGTTTATGAGATGTAACAATACGACCTTTCACTTTTCTGCCAGTGAAAAACGATGAACTTGCTGGTATATATGTGCTTTTTATATATATGCTTTTTAATATAGCAAAGAAAAAGCAGAACATGTTTTCTCCAGATCTCCTTGCTTTTTTTTCTCTGCATGGTGGACATATTTTTCAATAAACTCATATTTACTATCTAACCATACAACCTTCCGACAATCACCAAAACGCAGCGTTATTTTTGGTCAGCATACGACAAACTGTACAAATCTACTAACCATATTGGATACATATTTTTTCTATTGCTTAATGATGTTATTTAATTATCAGGTTAATTATCATGACAATGTAGCGGTGCTATTTTATTTATTTATTTTTTACCTTGTTCATTGCCGAGATGGGGAGCCAGCCATGCTGCCTCTGTGCCAAGTCCAGCACTGGGATGGTAGCAGCCTGCTTGTGTCCTTGGGGATAGTTACTTATTATGGCTTCCACTCTCTATTGTAAAATGGACCCAGAAACATTCATCAGAAAACAAGCAAGCATACACATGAGCATGAGTCTAGCAACTCATAGCATCAATCAGAGCAATCCCAGGAGACTCAATCAACAGTCTTTAGGGATTAGTTACTGTAGATTTTCCACCTAGGACTCGGGTATGATAACAAAATGGTCAAACAAGAAATATGTTAAATAGCTTAATTAATTTAAACACATAAGTGTATTGGTCATATCTGAGTTACTTCTAGGCCACTCTATTCTTCACATACCGACTGCTAGCAAAACAGAACCCATTTCTTCACGGAAAGACAAAATATTCTCTCACCTTCAAATTCTCAGGAGTGAACTCAAATGGAGTATCTGGATTGTTGTCTGCTGTATCTCTGTGCTGTGTTGAATACAAAAAAAAAAACAATTAGATTTTATTATAATATGTAATGCTGAATAAATTCTATTTAAAACTTTCACTCAGTAAGACTTGAATATTTCAGAGCTAGAAGACATATTGTATGGTTTCAGGAAGATCTCTGAGCTAGCTAAGCACCTCGCCCAATGATAGGAGGGTGTGGTGACATTTGGAGTAAACATGATATTACTGTTTAATAACATTTATTAACCTCTTTCAATTCTACTACTTCCTGCTCATTTGCACACATATGCACACATCTGCACTTTACATTGCACATAACCTGTATCCTTGTCCACACATCCCTATAATTTTATATTTTATATTATTCCTCCATTTTTTATATTCTTCTATTGTATATTCTGTTTTTCATACCATCACACAGTCGTCCGTCAAAACACTTCAATCAAAGGTTATGAGAAAACAAGAATTTTGTCTTTTAAATGGTATGATATGATGAAATTTTTATTAATATGACCAGGGTCATCTACTAACAAAGTAAAACAGGTCCATTTTGATTTCAGGTTGACTGCAGCAGGATGCCCTCAGGACCGAATTTTGGTAGCTTTCAAAATCTTCCTAAACATATTCAGCAAAGTTGTGGTCCACATTTATGAAATGTATTTATGGTTTCCTGGGCTAAAACAAAAGACTTCATCCATCTTCACCATCTGTTCTGAATTGTTCTACTGACGTTTTTATAGAACTATGCTGTATTTCACAGCTCCTAACAAGCTAACAGACAAACCCTTGTTGAAAAGCTCTAGTCAAAACAGTACTTGAACTTCATTCAGAGGATGCTGCCCTCTTCTGAGTGCCACCAGAGATAACTAGACATCTTTCGTCAGATAAATATAACACCATAAAAACAGATTTCAAAGCCTGACAGTCTGAGCGATATGAAAATACCTGAAGCAAGTAATGTTCTCATGCATTGTAACTTATATAGTACAGCATAAGCACGCCTGAATATCTGAAAACCACAAAAAAAATTGACCCTGTTCATCTGACTCTACTTATACTTAAGAAACACAAACGCCCATTAATTATCCAAGATGAGAATCTCCAATTGCGTGTGAAATTCAGGCTTGTCACTATTAGATTAGTAATTATTTTGACAATCAATTTGGTAACAATTGCCTTTAAAAAGGCCAAACAATTCAAATTGACATAAATTAAAAATTACAAACCATGCATAGCCCTTCAAAATTTTGTAAATACTTTACTAAGAGAAAAAAGATAAAGAGGATGCCCTCAAAAAACTAAATAAAAGCACTATGGGACAAAACAATACTTAGATCGCCCATCAGGGTTTGAGAGACAGACGCCTAGAATTTCAAACATATGTTCTCATCCTTTAAACTAAATGTTGCAGATTAAATGAGATTTTACTCAACAAGTGTTCATGATGGTCCTAATGAAATATATGCAAACACGTTTTTGCTACTCATCAGAAAGAAATTCAGTATGTAGTTCATCATTGCAGAGATTAGTACTCATCAGTACTGTATGATGAAGGTGCTGTAACATCCTGATCAATTTCAATGCAATGGGTAGCACCGACAGACACTGCACTGCCAAACACTCAGATCTATCATATGTAAGTCAGTCAGAGTTGACTTAAAACCATTTAATTTACAGCTGATAGTCATGCATTCTTTCCTTTATCCTTCCTTCATGGCGCAAGCCACCAGTCAGATTCTCTCCACTCTATTCTACATGTTCCTGAATTAAACCCAGGTGTTACTGTAAAAGAACAAAGTCTTTGCACACTGCCATTATTGCTGTTTCTAAGGTCATCATATGTGGGCCATTTTAACAATAATCTTCTAAGCAGGATTGAGAACTAGGCTTTTATAAAGGAAAAAAAAGGATTCCAAGTCCCTACCACAAAGATCCCTCCTGCTCCAAGACGAGCAGCGGACTGGTGCAGGCTCCGGACCTGCCTGCCCTGAAATAATCAAAGACAGATTGCATTAGAACACTGACAATGTACTGTTCAGGGGCGGTATAAAAACTTTCACTCAATTACATTTACAGAGGACAAGAAAACACACATTTAACTTCTTAGATTTTCATTTAGATCTTCAAAGTACTCGTTTCAAAACTCAAGAATAAAGAGCTTTTTTTTTTTTCATCTTGCTAATCAGTTGAATTCCCACACATTTTGTGTCCAATCAAATTCACGTTGGTGCAAAATGAAACTGTCCACAATTACACTGTTCATTTCATCTTTGTGCAATAAACAGTACTGCCTTTTAGTCACCACAGCACACAGGAGCACAGCGTGCAGCAATGCAATGTAATGGTTATGACAATATCTCATTATGCATGCAAGTTTATTGTAGGTATGTACACAATTCAATATGATACAGTCTTTGATACATAATTTTCCATACAGCAAAAATTAAGGTTGAACAAGTAATTTTTTATCGAAATCAGTTCAAAAAAGTGCAACTTACAAATCGCAAGAGCTAAATTTTAGGTTTTAAGGGGGAATTTTTTATCTAATAACACAGAGCTTGTGAGTTTGCCACACTACATTCAAGGTTTAAGCCTCAGGCTCGAAAGAAATTGATGTGCTGGTGCTCTTGGAAGTATAAAAGCCTGGAGACTAATAGAATTAATTAATTAAAACAATAAATACAAAACAATCACATTAATTATTATCTTAATATTGGTCAGAAAAATATGAAATTTGGTATTTTCACCAATTGATCAGCCCTACAAAAAATAAGGAGTCCCTGAATATGAATATGTGCCTTGCATTTATATGTTAATGTTAATATGTTAATATACCAAGCGCACAGCATACATGCATGCTCACAAGAGCCATAACAATGCATGTCCTTTGGATACCATTTTTAATTCTTAGGGTCAAGATTTAGCTTGATTTTCAATATTTTGCTGGTTAAATGTGTCCGGACTTTAGAGCTCTAATAATAAAACCACACCTATTGGTTTAGCTCAGAAAAATAAAAAATTCACAAATAGGTGCCTTGTTTTTATCATGGAGAGTGGTTTCCACAAAAGATGATAAACGAAATCCCTCGGAAGAGACAGAGGGGTGTATTGGCATTTAATTCTGATATTCAAATTTGTTTATATTTGTACTGAAATTGTTATACATCTAGTTTATTGTAGCCTTTAAGTGCATTTTGATTTTGTATTTAATTTTGTTAGAAAGAGTTAAGACTAGATAAAGCATGATCAGCTATGTGCCAGCATTAAATTTAATGTTAAGAAAATGTAAAAAGCATATATTGACTCTTACTTGTATCTCACTGCTGTCGGAACAAAGCGGTTTTTCAGTTTTTGACATAATTTGAAAATGCCTGTTGATCTTTACATTGTGTGTAAATTTCATGATGAATGGACCAAAAGAAATAACCAAGAATGCCTTAAAAAAAAGGTCTTGTTCCACTGACTTACATTAAAAGTAAAGCATGTTTTTTCCTTCTCCTGTAAAGTTGCCATTATACAAGGCTTTGTTCCGACAACAGTGATCTGTTAAATCATCTACTCTTTTACTTTTAATTATATACCTGAATGTGTTGCAATGTAGATACTTTTTGTTAAGTTTGGCTTCATGCATCCACTTTGAATTGGGTAAGATTTTGACACACTTCCCATACATTAACTTAAGCACAGTTTCTCTGTTTTTTTCCCACCTCTGATATTATTTCATAAACCACACTAATTTCAAAACAGTAACGCAGTGGGAACATCTCATTATAATAGTCATAACTTCACAATTCAAACTGTCCACTTACATATACACGCACCACCCACTTTATCAGAAAAACTGCTGGTGAGAGTTTAGAGCGGTGGTCTCAAACCCTGCTCTTAGAGATCTACCTTCCAGCAAATCTAACACATTTCCTTGAGCTAATCAAGTACTTCTGAAGGCAGTAGTTTTATGGATCAGGTGGGATCTCCAGGAGCAAGGTTTCTGACCACTAGTTTAGAGACTGCAGCACATCTGCCCTTCATCAATGGTCAATCACTCTTGGCTGTATAGTTCTCGATGGTGGACCACTCTCAACCATGCATGTCAATATTTTTTGCTGACAATATGCGCATGACAACAGATCAGTGTGCAACTGTACACCTATATAGTGGAACTATAATATGTGTGTTTCTAATGAAGTGGCCAATAAGTGGAAGTACAAAGTAAATAAAAGGATGTCAAGTACATTTCTTAGCTATCTGGAAGTTGCAAATGACAACTATGTGCTACTTTCCTTTCTGTGATCTGGTTAACAGTTAAATCTTATATGGTACATTAAAATGAACGCAGTGCATCTAGGTAGCTATAAAAATCACCGCAATATCAATCATCACCACTGTAGTTAAATAGCTTACACGCCTGTAAACAACCGACGGTGCATAAAAAGGTCTAAAAACAGCTCTTGTAGCCTGTTAGCTGACTGCCTGCTAACATTAGCTAGCTCGCTATTTTCCACTTGCCCTTGCAAGATGTCATGAAGCTAAAACTATCTGGCTTCGCACAGCCACGTCAGTTAAACACACTAACGTTAGCAAAGCGACCGCTATAAACTCCAAACATTAAAATAACATACCGCATGGGACACTGCCGCCCGAAGAGCTGAGGATAAATACATATTTAGAAGTGTTCCTGTCCGGTCGCTCTACCAACCCACAATGGCGGACATCAACACGAGAGCGACGTCAGATCGATTCAGCTGGTCTGCGTTCGCATTCAGTGAGAGGGAGCTAGTCCGTATAATCGAACACAGACAGCGTTCTCTACTGGCAGTGTGAGCCCAGATTTAAATTGTGTCCTAAAACTACAGTTAATATATCGTCTGTCATTTTGTGTAAAGGTCTGTAGCACAGCATCTCTCAGCCTCATCGGCCTCAGAATCCACGATTTTGTATAGTTTTTTAGTTTTCGTCCGTTTTCTCTCACTACAATAAAGAATATTCTGACTGATAGCACAGATGAATAAAAACAGATGTGATGTTCCACTGTCTATCAGGTAACGATTGCTATCTGGCCTCCTTCTGCATTAGCCAGTTAGCGGAAAAAAACATTATAAACAGCCCTCCCTCAAGTATCTGTCCTAATTTCTTTTTGTTTTTTTCAAAAGCTCCTTACACTTTCGATGTACATCATCAGAAGACTTCGTCAGACTTTCAACAGAAAAATAGTGCTCTAGACACTACTGTGGCACCACTGTAGGAGGCGAGTAGGCATGTTTACAACAGCACTGGGCTTAACTACTCCTAAATGAACCCGAGTGACGGTGATCTTTTGAAACGGTGACATTCTGGTTTGCAACTCCAGAGACTTAGAAGATCAAACCTAATTCAAGTTCAAGAGCTATAAACATATATATATATATATATATATATGTTTATAGCTCTTGAACTTGAATTAGGTTTGATCTTCTAAGTCTCTGGAGTTGCAAACCAGAATATATATATATATATATACATATATATATATATATATATATATATATATATATATATACACACATATTTTGTGTATTTAGGCTGAATGATATAAACAGCGTCAAATTATATCGAGTTTATTCGGTTTTCATCAAGTTACAGTTCTTAATAACCGCCCCTCAGCCTGTTATTGACCCCGCTTACGGGTTCAGTCGTAACATTTGCAGTCACGCCGCTTTCGGCTGAACTGTTCACAAACAGTCGGCGCTCAAAACAAAGTTTACGTCGTAATTTGTAGCAGAGATGTGCTTTGTCCCGCGATGACAAAGCTGCCCTTTCCTGGAAAAAGCGCGACATTGGAATCCAGTATTGCGTTAGGAGAGTGGGAAGGCCTGCCTCTCTGGTTTCTTTTTTTTGGGCACACAAGCTGCCGCCTGCGTTCAGTCGCTGTCTCCAGTCTCCTCCTCTGTAATGGGATCAGCAGGAGAGATGCAGCTTAGCCAATGAAAAAGTAGGAGTGCCGAACGCAGCGTTCTGATTGGTCGCTGCGGCGCTGATCAGACTGAGGGAATAAGGCGGAATGAGGATTAGGGGGTGGGGCTCATACAATAAACCGCTTCATAGCTGAAGTGCAGGGCAGCGCTCTGCACTCAATGCCTTTCAGAGTTCATACAACAAGGAACTTGGGACTTCTTAACTGCTTCCCGCTTTAAATCCAGCTGACCGCTATGGTTGTGCCAGGGCAGCAGGACCAAGAGGAGAAGGTCTTCTATCCTCCAGAGGATCTGCAGGTGGATGCTCATGTGCCTGACTTTAACTCATACCTTGAACTGTACAAAAAGTCTATTGAGGAGCCTGAAGGTAAGTCAGCTGAGGAATGACATAATGAATGTTGGTGCATATGCCATAAAACAAGCAGAGATGGGTCATGTGTCTGTGATAGAGAGTGAGAGAGTGTTGTCATAAACTCTCCAGCAAATCTGTTAATCCATAGAGTTCTGGAGGGAAGTGGCTCAGGAGTTCTACTGGAAGGAGCCTCCCAATGGCCAGTTGCTGCAGTACAACTTTGATGTCACCAAGGAGAAGGTGTACGTCAAGTTCATGGAAGGAGCAAAGACAAACATTTGCTATAATGTGCTGGACCGCAATGTTCTGGACCAGAACCTGGGCGAGAAGGTGGCGTACCACTGGTGAGCTAACAGGCTTTGCACCATTCTAATGTGGAATAACACCGATCATATCAGAGCTTGCATGAGAAACTTACACCACAAGGAGCTGTGAAGCCACAGTCTTTTGTCTAATGCTCAGTCCATTCAGATATATGAGGTTAATTTGGTCAGTTAAATTCCTAGATGTGCATTGAGGCCTTCAGTCAGCAATGGTCTTGGAGTTTGAAAACACCGTGGTCTTGTTTGTTTTCAAGAAAGAAATAATTAAAGTCACCAGTGTTGAATTAACAGGAGTGGAGTTAACCTGAACCTAATGTAACTCCTCAGGTGTATATTTAACTCTGTGTGGGTTAATATAATACTGGGGATGTTATTGTGTGGTTCTTCCACTTATGAATGTCTTTGCAGACTTTAAAGGAATACTCCAGCGCTTTTCGAACCCTATCTGCATCATCTACTGCATGTAGTCGATTACCATGGACACTAATTTTCCTGGGCTGGGGAAAGAACATAAATCCATTGACACACAAAAAACCATGTAAAAGTCAATGGGCAGATGCAGGAACATTATAGGTTTGTCCCAAGTCAATGAGTTTTCTGTTTTTTCACTAAATACAGAAAAACGCATCAAAATTATTGTCCGTGGTAATCAAGCATACGCTACAGATGCTGGAGATGGAGATTAGCTTGAATAATGCTAGAGTATTCCTCTAAAATGTGATGAATGTAATAAATACTAATATGTGTATTGTGGCTAATGTACCATATATACTGAGCATCTCAGAGTTAAATGCCTGACTCTAGATCAGTGTGGAACATAGAGGGCAGTCTGAACCACTTGTTCTTTCAACCAGATGAAGTACATCTATTACCTGAGCGCACCTAGAGATACTCATGTTATAACAGTACTCATTTATTTCCTAAACAGCAATGTTAGGTGAACTGAATTGTTTCTATTGTTTCTAAAGTGTTAGGTGAGCTTTTCTGATAGCTTTTTCATAACAAGACCACTGTGTGCTGCATCAAATGCAAATGTTATTGCATTTATTTTTAATTTCCAGTCAAAATGGCCATTACCTACAGGTTATTAATTTCTGGAGATATTTCTGAAGAGATTGGTTATGACATAATCCACTTGCATAAGGAAGGTGACCGTCAAAGTAAAAAACAGAGGTTTCCAAAAGTTCTAAAAATGATTAAAAGATAAAAAGAAACTCGTGTCAGATCTTAAAAAATCCTTCCACTGTAAGAAGACAGCTCAACACTATGGGTATGAAAGGATGTGTAGCTGTCAAGAAGCCCTTACTGAGAAAAGGAATCAAAAAAAGAAAGTTGCAAACCAAACAAAGAAGCTGCTGGTGTTCTCAGAGCAATGTGTTGTCCACCACAACATCAGTGAACGTGTTTGGGATGACTTGGATTATGAGAAGCATAAAATTTAACCAACTTTGGAGGTGTGGAAAAACTATCCCTGCAGATTTCTTTGAAAAACTGAAAGCAAGCCTCCTGTAAAGAATAGAAGCTGTACTAATGCCAAATGGTGGACACACCAAATACTGAAAAATGTAATATCATACTTAGTAAAACACAGATAACTTGTACTTAATGGCCATTTTGACTCTAAATTAAATTAAATAAATGTTGGGTGGTCTCTGACTTTTGCACAGTATTGTACCACAGCATATTGTTATTGAAATAATAAAAGTGCAGACATTTAGCCTTTATTTGGTATTTTCATTGATTGGGTGAATGGTGTAGGAATTGCAGCTATCATTATACAAAGCCACTCCCTCACTTAAAAGTAATTGGACAGTTAAGACACTTATCTGTTGGCCAGGTGTGTGTTATTCCCTCATTATTTCAATTATAAGTAAGCAGATAAAAGATCTAGTGTTAATTTCAAGTCTGGCATTTGCATCTGGAATCTTTTGCTTTTAATTCTTATTATATGAAGTCCGAAGAGCTCTGCCTTCATTAGGCTGAAAAATCAAAACAAGTCAATCTGAGGAATAACAAAAACATTAGGTGTGGCCAAATCAACTATTTGGTGCATTCATAAAAAGAAAGAATGCACTAGTGAGCTCGAAAACACCAAAAGACCATGGGAAACAACTGTGGTGGATGCCAGAAGATCACGTTCCCTGGCAAAGAATGACCCCTTCAGAACAGTTGGCCAGCTCAAGAACACCCTCCAGGAAGTACGTGTATCTGTGTCAAAGTCAACAATTAAGAGAAGATATAACCAGAGTACATACAGAGGGTTTTCCACAATATTTAAACCATTATTAAGCTTCAAAAACAGGAAGACCAGGTTGGAGTTAAAACATCTGTACAGTTCTGTAATAGCATTTTGTGGACAGATGACACAAAGATCAACCTGTACCAGAATGGTGAGAAGAGAAGAATATGGAGAAGAGAAGAAACTCTGCTCATGATCCAAAGCATGGTGTAGGTAGTGTTAGGATGTGGGAACTGGTTCCTTTGTTTTTAACAAGCAGAAAATGAAGACAGGTGCAGTAAAGGTCTGATAGAGCATCATTAGTGAAGAAACCCAACATGGGGATGATTATGGGTTCCAGATTTTAGGCAGTCACTGACTGCAAAGGATTTGCAACCAAGTATTAAAAAGGACAGTTTCATTTATGATTGTTACTTTGTCCCTAAAAATGGGGGCTGTGTATGAAAATGATTGTAAATACTGCCAAATTAAAGCTGAATTCACATTCAGCTCATATTCATTATTTAATTTCAACTCATATGCTGTGGTAGACAAAATAGCAAAATTGTTGATGTCCACATTTTTATGGACCTGACTGTACACTAATGTTCTGCTGATTATGTAATGGTATATTAATTGATCATGTACATTTACTACATAACATATATAGTTTCATGGTGGTTAGTGAATAATTCTTAGACATTACTGTGTAATAAGTTTTACTATGAATAACTGGTAATAAGTCCAGAGTTTAAGAAGTTAAACAAGGTGCATGAATCAACTGTAGTCTAAGAGGACATAAATGCATGAAGATTTGCACAGAATTACAATACCAATGTATGGTTTAATGCTATGTCCTGGTAAATGGGGGCATATAATTAGTCTGGACCCTAATACAGTCTAGACTGTCTGTATCTGGCTCAGTGGTTGAGATGATCTTGGCCAGCAGTCCAATCCAGCCTCTCCTGTTACTGGATGCCAAGTAGCATAGAATACTAATAACGTGGGGGCGGGCATAACAGTAGTTAGACATTAACTGATAGCTGCTGCTGCAGAGCACATGGGCAAAGCCTGTCCCACAATGCCTGGCTCTGACAGAGGCATGGACGGAGCGTGGTCCATGGACGTCATAAATATAGAGAGTTCCAGGAAGAAAGCTATGCTAAGTTTAGTGGCTTAGCTGCCATGCATTATGATGCAACACACTAACAATCATACCTTCAAGGTCATTTTGTCTAAATGGGGGACGTCTTGTCGTCGGTCACTCTATTATGGGGACAGACAGGTGCAACAGCCTGAAGAATAGAAGACAAGCATTCATGTGTATGTTCCAGGATGACACGACACTTCTGCCGCATAACGGTTGCATACTTACTGTCACAGTGGTAAACAATGTGTTATGTGGAGTGCTGGTCCAATGTGCAGACTGCTTTCAGTGCCAAAGCAAACAGCGCAGCTTTGAGCAGGCTGCTGGCCATATTGTAATTTGTCGATTTGGCCATCCCTTTAGTTTGAGCAATAAACACATATTACCGTCCAAACACATTGCTGATGCTCATCCAAATGTAACATGGACAGGGTGCCAGAGGACACGCTGGCTTCTCCTGAAAAGAGGACGAGGGTTTTTTTTAGATAAAAGAACAGGCACATAAATGTCACATGCTAGATCTGAAGATCAAGAAGAGATTTGTCATCTCAATCATACATAAGTGTACAGTGTTCACTGTTCTTCCAGGGCCGTGGTGCAAAATACAAAACATAACCAGTGTTTACTGGAGTGACCAAAACTTACATAGACTACATATAGACTACACATATAACGCGAGTTCAAAATTTGAGATGTAAAGTCATTCAGAGTAGTTTGATGTGAAATGGTGCACCGAAAAGAAACTCAGCTTTATGCACAGTGGTGGTAATTTGGTGGTAATTAGCCATTTTACTTACTATCCAAAGCCACAAGTGAACCTACATGTCTTTTTTAGATGTCTACATATCAGTTTTTATATGTTGTCAATCTGGGAAAGAAAAGGTTTTCTTTACAACATTCTGCATGTACCTGTCCTAAAAATACGTTTTAGGCCAAAACCTTATCTCAAGTCTATTGCAAAACCATGTCTCAGACATCAGGCAACATATCCGTAACTATTTCCTATAATAACCTTCTGTGACGTCACTTTTAGAGGTAATAAAACGTTTCAGACACTCTTGTTCTTATCACCACCACTGTAAACAATTCCGCAAGTTTCTCTAGAATGGAGCATTTCACATCAAACCACTCTGAATGACTTTGTTTACATGTTAATACTTTAATTATGCAGAAGGTTTGGTTGAATTCCCCTTTAAACAAGACAGATCAGTGCTTAATAACAATACAATACAAGTATACGACAGTGCCAGACTTGGCTCAAAGCCCACACAAGCTTTGCATCTACACTTCTACACTACACTCTCAGAAATAAGAGTCAAGGGTACATCTCAGTACCTTTAGAGAGGGAACATAGTTGTACCATAATCCATTAAAATTATATTTTCTAAGTTGTATTGACTCCACACACCCTGTCTCGTCTCCAGGCTTTTTATTTTATTGTTCTGTTTTAAAACATTAGGTTATGAAAAGGTACAAACATGTACCTTTACACTGGGAAAAACTTATTTAAGATATACAATTGAACTGTTGTACCTTTGAGGGTACATTTACATTGTTTGTACCTTGATGAATGAAAAATGTACCTGCACAGCACCTTTATTTATAACAGTGTAGTTATACTGATATTAATGCTATGTTCAATCCGTGCTTCTTGAGAACTGCTGCTTAAGAACTGTATAATTACACTATACAGCCTTGGCTGAATATATAGGGGCGTAGACTTCTTGATGATTGGTACTAAAACTCTCTGCAGGGAGGGGAACTCACCTGATCATCGCCTGACCATCACCTACAGCCAGCTGCTGAAGCAGGTGTGCAGGTGTGCCAATGCTCTAAAGAAGCTGGGTAAGACTTATTCTCTGTGTGTGTCTCTCTCCCTTCCCCCCCCCCTCCACCCCTCCCCAGTGTAGACACTGAAAATAATGACAGACATCATTCATCTTTCTCAATCAGACAATTATATAACGCATCTTACAACACACCACAACAATACACTTTACACCATCACCAGATTTCACAATGCTCCCAACCAACCCCTAATACTGCACAAGAAGTGTATATGTTGCTATGTGTGTATTGCTTTTTTTATTAAGTATCATAACTGACTGACGGATAGAAGAGTTTTTAAAAGTTTTGACTTTGGCTCTCTGAAATGTTTATTTGAATGCTAAATGTTGTATTCACCATATAGCATATGCAATGGATCAGACAAAATACCACACACTAATCATTATACATTTCCATACTTTTCCTATAGGCTGTTGTATTACAGGATTATTACTCGTATAACTGGATGGATTACTGTAGTATAATAAAATAGTAACAATCAGAAATAAAATCTGATTGTTAGCCCCAAAAGATCTTAAGCTACGAAAAAAAAAATATATATATACTGCTGTACCTTACTGCAGGCATAATCAACATGACTGTTCCATGATGGTGCTGCATCTATTACTGATCGCTGATTATTACTGATTATAAGTATCTTTGTCTTTCAAAATGATCAGTAGTTGTAATCAGTTACAGTCATACTGCATTTCTGTTCATGAACTGCAACCACTACACTGTAAACCCAACTAAGCAAAAGTCAGACTCATTAATGTGTTCATATTCAATTATGGAGAAATGTGACACATATTTTCAGTTGATGCAACTCACACAACCCTTCACTCATATAAATAATGTCAGTGTAATTGTACCTTTAAAGTAATCACAGCTTAAAATGACATAAGTGGCTACTCAAATATTTTATGGTCATAAATCAGTTGAGCATCATGAACTCAAAAGACATGTTATGAATGGACGTGATGAAAACAGTAAAGCTACATTGTCTTCTGTGCTTCACTGCAACCACAAGCATAATAACGGTACTACATGAACATCAGTTTCAAAGAACACTTAAGAACACTTATTGGACTACTCCATAAGGAACAAATAATTGGCTACAAAACAATCAAAGGGATAGAATACAGGTCGGAGAAGCATGAAGACAACTTTAGCATAAAGATAACATGTTACAACCCAAAATTAACTTTAATTGATGATGCCTCATGAAAAATTAGAAAAATAAGTGCTAATTAACAGAAACCAACAAACCGCAAAGAATGCTGGCTTTCTATCACAGATGATAAAGGAGGAGACTGGTTACTGGTTGAAATATGAAAGGGAGAGCTTGTAACGCTCAACATAGCATCTGTTTACAGAGAAAGTCCCACCCTTCAAGAAAAACAGCCAGTCAGCTTGCTGGTTACGCCGCGAGTGGGGAAGCCCCCCTTGTTGTGGAAATCTGCCATGCAGTAGCCAGAACAACCCCAAAAAAAAACATTTTTTTGTGCATTATTGTCAGGTTTTTGTTTGATTTTGTCAGATTTTATAAGAAATATGTTTGAAACAGTAAACCTTCAGTTTCAAGTATTTTGGTCTCCCCTTTCAAAGAGTTAGGAGCCTGGTTTTGTGTGGCTGGAAATAACTGCAGTGTGGTGTTGCAAAGATGGCCACCAAGTGAGCAGACTTTGCTATAAGGACTTTGTTTCTATCTACTAATATGACCTCAGAAAACTCATATCATTTAAGTGCCAGTAAATCTATTGTGGACAGTTCTTTTTACTTAAAATTGCAAATAGGACTCTGCTAAATCAAAAGTTACCAGTTTCACAAACCCAAAAAGGAGAAATTATTATGCTAACTAACTTAATATGTTTACATTAGTATAACTTTTTTACTTTGATATAAGTTTTCTTCATTCTGTTTCCAGTTGATGAATTGCAGCATTGGGGTTTACAGCGTATAGGAAGTAATAGTCCGTCAAAAGCAATTTTCCTTTTACCCCAAATGTAGACCACAAATAGACATGTTTATATGGTTTCTAACACTGTACTAGACACTGTCATTTTAAAAATATGACAAAAGTACATCATATAGCTAAAAAAACAGTAGTGGCAGCCATCTTGATGCCTGGATTTTGCCCATACTTTTTATAGATAACTTTGTCATACAGTGTCAGAAACCACTTAAACCAGTCCACAGAGGTTGAGATGAGTGTGTGATGCTTTAAGGATGCAACATGCACAACACAAATTAGTTTATATAAGCTTCCATTACTTGTTAGTTACATTAGCTTCATATCTCCAGTGCTAAGTTAGGGGAGCGATCTTTAAATATTAAACATGTCTTGGCTGATCCACTACATTTGTGGTAGAAAATCATGCAAATCTGTAATGAATGGGGAGTTGAGGCAGGTTACATGTTCAAAGTGGCTTTATTTGAGGAGGTCTAACTCTTTTATTCGTGACAGACAAGGGTCAGTAAGCAGGCAGGCAGCAGCAGTTGCTAGACTAGAGGACAAAAACCAAGGACAAGGAAACAAGAATACACATACACAGAACTACAGCCAGACTTCACAAAGAGCAAACCAAACACAGCAGTATATATACACAGGAGATAATGAGTCCAGAACAAGCAGCAGGTGAGTGTGATAATGAGTGGGAGGAGCCAGGGCAGAGCTGGAGACAGAGTGAGCCAATGCAAAATGAGTCCATATGCTGTTGACCCACATGCTGCATGCACGCTGTCAAAAAACACTCTTTCATTGAACAGTTTCATCCCAAAACGTATTATAGACCATTTTCAAGAACTAAGTTGGCTTTACATATAGGGTATTACATATAAGGTATTATTACACATATAAGAAATATGGTATGTTGTGGTATAATATGATTAATACCACTTTTATTAGAGAAATCAAAATGCGTTTTTTAAATTATATATCAGCTATTATTCTTGTTAGTCTTGTAATTATATCCGAAATTGTTTCACATGGATACACAGCATTTTAGAACTCTTCAATTGTAATCTGAAAGTGCTGTTGTAACATAGGGCTTTTTTCCATTTCAGGTGTGAAGAAAGGAGACAGAGTGGCCATTTACTTGCCTATGATCCCGGAGCTTGTATACTCAATGCTGGCCTGTGCCAGAATAGGAGCAGTGCATTCGATTGTGGTGAGCATGCACCAGAACCCCTCACATCTGCAGCAGCACCTGCAAAGTCAAAAGCATCAAACACGAAACCATTTCACTGTGGTGTCTGTTTTGCTAGTGCAGAACCACAGTTCACACAAGAAGTTCTTTTGGTGGAGCAGTTCGCTTAGTATAAGTGCTACTTTTACCTCTACTCAAATATATTTGTGAGGAAAATAATCTACTTTTTACTTAGTACCACTGGAGCTATCCACATTTAGTTACTAATTTCTTTTATTTATTGAATTTCAATTTATTCTGTTCTTCTGGTTCAGTACTTGAACTGCTTTGCTGTTGCAAACCTCTCTTTTTTTCAGATTTAGAATATCATTTTATCCCAAAGGTTCCCAAAAAAGAAGAGAATAGCACCTAAAACACTTGAGAGATAACTGGATGTACTAAAAGGTTCCACTGCAGTTAAACTCAGAACTGCAGATGTTTCTTGACTCCTTCTCAAATTGACTAAAAATGTTTGTCTACTGGCCAAAAATGATTAGACTCCATCAGGGTCAGCCAATGTGCAGAATCCACTGCTTTTGTTGGGTTTCTGTCTGGTTCCCAAGTTATAAGCGTATATTTTCTAAAAGCTTGGTTCAATGCACTCAGCAAAACAGAATTGAGGGTCTTCATATTTAGGGTTCATTATAGTTCAGTACTCAGCTGGGTATTGGGGATATGGCAGAAAAATAGTCCTCTGTCTGCTTCTGCCACGACTATTTCTGTCGTTCATGTTCTCACTCCAGTTATCTAAAGGTTGCAGTTGAAGTTAAAAATACTCCAGGCGTAGTTTCAAGGTGAATTTTGATGGAGTATATAGCTCTGCTTTTGCCTGAATGTGAGAAGCCTCAATCCTCCTAGGCCACTGTTCTCCTGTCTGTAACTGAAGAAAACATTTTTGTTGGTTTATGCTTTAAACATAAATGTTCTAACCCTTGAAAACTGTGTATGTTACATACCAGAAGCATTCCAGGTCACGTACTTGGCCATAGAGGTGAAGTTCCCTGCCAGAACTCTTCAGGCCTTTTTATAGAGCAACTGTGCTTAGTCACTTCATGCCAATTCAAGCACATTGTTATTTTAGGGGGGATGTGTTCAGTAGCTAGCCTAAGATGAACTAAGAGCACTGAGCAAGAGAAGTAAAGTCAACCAAGACATGTTTAGTGTCCCAAATTTGCTTCTTCTAGTTTTGCACTGGAGCGACAAGGCTAATGTAGCTAACAGGCACCAGTTAGCATTGTACAAACTAAAACATCACACACTTGCCTCAAACTGTGCACATTGCATAGCTAAAACCACCATCAGCCACCTTCAAACTTGAATTTTGCCCATATTTTTGTATTTTTTACCACCCAATCAAATCTGTTTGGGATAGTAGTAGGCAGTACCAGTTCATTCAGTTAACAGGTTTAAAACCTTCCTCAGGTAAGAGATTTGTCAGAACCGTTATACTGGTGAGCAACAATTAAGCGTATACAGCGTAATGCACAAAATATGCTAACGTTATCTCCTTTAGCTGGATGGCTGGTTCAGGGATGTTTCCATCACATTTCAAATGAAAATGAAAACACAGCAGTCCCTCAGTCACCTCCTGCTATCTAGTCCTTGTGTCTGATATAGTCCACTTCTTCTTCTGTTCTTTTTTTGACGAAGTGGACATACTTATAGGGTTAGCCGAAGTGGACAGACTTATAGGGTTAGCCTTAGACTAACATGGACACCGAGCAGGGAGCTGAGGAGCTGCCTCAGTCTCTGGGCGTTGTCCGGAAACAACCCGTGTACCAGCTTATACTGTTGCATGAATGACAGTAATATCTTTCAAATTTGAACAAAAAGCTGGCGAAGAAGCCAACTTCAGCCTTGTAGACAATAAGATGTGAAACAACATTTAGCATTTTTTGCTAGGCCCAAGGGGGTTGAGTTAGAAAGCAATACTGACGTAGTTTTATCTATATTATTCAGTTTTGTTTTGCACAATAAAAAATGTCAGATTTACTTTGTTTTCTTTAAAAAGTGAAGAAACATCACGGAATGTCACCTACAAAAATAGGTTTATCAAAAAAAAAAAAAATCTCTCTCTCTGTATATATATATATATATATATATATATATATATATATATATATATATATATATATATATATGCAGTAACATATACCAACACTTTTAATTTTATTTAAAATTAAAATTATATTTAGAATTATATTTAAAATTTAACCATGATATAAATTTTTGGCAACGTCACCCTCTACTAGTTTGATGCAGTTTGAGGTGAGTGTGTGATAATACAGTTTACATGGTGCTAAACTAGCAGCTTGTTAACTACAGCTTCATAGGTCCAGTGCAAAACTAAATGAGAAAACATCAATGTCTGATTGACTACATTTGGGGTAAAAAAGACAACTGTGTACATTTCTGGCAAGACCACTGCTTTACAAATATGGCAAAAATCAATTTTAAGACTCTTAAAGCTAAGGACTAAGACTGTGTCTAGGACAAATGTTTGAACTGCTTCTCTCTCTAATTCTGTTCTTCTCTCAGTTTGCAGGTTTCTCTTCAGACTCACTGGCTGAGAGGATCATGGATGCTCAGTGTAGCATCCTGTTGACAGCAGGTAATACACACACACAGACACACACACACACACACACACACACGCACACACAGACACACACACGCACACACACACACAGACATGCATACTTGCACAAGCACAATATCAACAAAGAAACATCATGGTGTGACATTGATTATCTGCAGATGACTCATTCAGCAGGATTGCAAGATAAGATGCAATAAATAACATTTTTAGCGTTTTTGTGTAGGTTTTGTTGTGGTGTTTTTTAGAACTGTCTTGAACTCTGGTGCGCTGTTTCAGTATTCCTTGTCCATTCCTGTGTGTGCATGCATATTTGTGTGTGTGTGCGTGTGTGTGTGTGCCTGTGTGTGTGTGTATGTGTGTGTGTGTGTGTGTGTGTTCTCACGTTAGATGGTGTCTATAGGGGGGAGAAACTGATCAACCTGAAGCAGATTGCTGACGAAGCACTGGAGCACTGTCGGGAGAAGTAAGTCTTCCTTTAAGAGCAAGTCTCTGACATCACAACGATTCAGCGCATCATGTAATTTCCAATGGAGAAATCTCAGGCCTTCAAGGCCTTCAAGTCAGTTGTAGTTCATTTGTATTTAATGTAATCATCATGTTTGCAGTATTTAAACTCTGCAAGTATTCATAGCTGTAGATACAACCTAGATACGTCACTGACTGAATATGAGTGGAAGTCTAAATAGGTTTCAGTCAGTTGTTAGAAATAGAAAACAGCAGCAGAAGCTCTCTGCTAAGACTCTTTACTGAAACTGTCACTGTAAAACTGTATACAAGGTACTGTATATCACTGCTGTCGAAAGAAAACCTTGTTTTTCAGTTTTTGACACAGTTTGAAAATTGTCCTTTACATTGTATGTAATTTTCATGATGAATGGACCAAAAGAAGCGGCCCAAAATGACTTGGAAAAAAGTCTGGTTCCATTGACTTACATTAAAAGTTTTTTCCTTCTCCTGTAAAATTATCAATTTGGAGATACAAGGTTTTCTTCCAACAACAGTGATATGTTATTGCCTGATATAGTAAAATAAAGCATCTGCAGTGTCATCAACAAGCTTCAAATATCTATGGGGGGGTCTGTATGTTTGAAAAAGGCTTGAGAATTTTATTTTGGTTAAAAATGAGCACCTAAATTTCTCTTTAGAATGGATAATTAAACCAGTAAGCCACTTGAGGCCAGGCGTTACAGTGATTTATGACGTTTAAAAATTTTTTTGTCATATAATAATGAACATATTGAAATAGAGCAGTGTTTAATGCAAAAAAAATACTTTAGAAGTAGATTTTGCTCACCACATTACTACTGTGATGACAGTGCTAATTTCCATTAGTGTCTCTACGCAATTTCCAGTCTTATTTAGTATTATTCCCATGCTAGGTTTATGCTACTTAAGGCAGATCTGACTAAAACAAGGGCATTTAAAGTGTGTAAAACATTCAAGTGACATATATTTCACTCTTTTGTATTGCATTTGTACACTGAATTATATAGTAAGTGCTTTAATTCAAAGCAAGAGATATTACTGTTGAGTTGTATAGCCTGATAGCTGCTTCGTAGCCTGTTAGCTAGCTGAGCAGCCTTGTTGTAGTTAAGAAAATAAGTTATCAGCCCCTCAATTTAAACAAAATCGGGTCTGCACTTCATTGGTACACTTGGTGGTCCATGCAAGCAGTATAACAGTCAAAGATTATTCCATGAACTGCACAAAGATTTATTTGTGGTTGGCTCATTAATACAGAATTCAGTTATAAGTCATTTTACAAACTGCTTTGAATGCGGCTCACCTAATCAGATTTTAGGGACTATCCGCTTTATAAAATAGATTCTAACATTCCAATATCAATACATTTCCCCGAATCCACCTGCAATGTTAATGTCATTATTAGAGGTTCATGCTAATAAAATTTTAATAGAATTTTTCACAGTTTAACCACACAATATATCATGTTAAGAACAATTTCTTTAGACTTCCTTATACGTCCTGTTCAGAGTTTGTACTTTGGGCGTCTATTTCGGGTAGAAGTAGTGATGTCAGATCCACTTGAAAGTCATCATAAATGGAGGTGACAATAAAGTTGAGCTGACCTATGAACAGGGTTGGGTGTCGAACTTCAGTACATTTATGGTATTGACTGGTATTTCGTCAATACCACAGAGTATACAAAACTCATTATCTAAGTAGTCACTCCTATCTGTATCAGTGGGCCAGTAAGCATGCTTCTTCCAAAATTGAAACTGCTGATTGGCTGTCTAAATTACATTACATATGCATGTTATTCTCATCAAGACTTTTTAAATTCTGTCTTTGATTACTCTTCACTCCACTGTGGTCAGTAAATGCACCAACCTCCAGCACCTTGTGCTCATTTTTGGTTTAAGCCACACCCACTTTCACATTATTTTTTTGGTATAACATTTTTAAATGCAAATAAAAGTAGCAGTTTTTCCGAACACACAATCTCACTAGTTCCAATATTTAAAATTCAGTATGTCTGGGTACGACTGTGACCAGAACTTTTAATTTGGGTTAAATACAAAAAGTAAGAGTTTTTCTTCATGTAAAACTTTTTTTTACTATAGATATACATATGTATTTTTACATATTACTTTTTTTTACTATTCCTTCTTGTTTATTTTAAAATATAATATTACTTTAAAGCAAATATGATTTTCAACTTATTTATTTAAAAGAAGGTGTCAGAAAAAAATAATGTTCAGGAATCGGTATCAAATTCAATGTATCAGCATCAACTTGTAAATGATACCTAATTAGTGAATTCAGCTACTATGATTTTTAAATTTTTGCCAAATTTGATGTGAATAATGTGAATAATGCTGACTTGCTAAGTGTCTATAGTGGAGTGTTTCACTTGAAACCACTGTGAATGACTGTTTACATTTTAATGATGTAATTATACATTTTGTATAATCTCCATAACATTGACATTCAGCTGCAAATAAGCTCATGGTCACCATACCTGGTGCCAAGCATTTTCTATAGGGGTATAAAGCCCCCTAGCATTGGGCTATGGAGCAGTGAAACTATTTTCTCTGGAGTGATGATGCACCAACCAGTACCTTTGGGCTGAGTTGGAGTGGCATTTCTGATCCAGAACTAATCATCCAACATCAGTACCTGACCTCAATAATGCTTGAGGCAGAATGCAGTCAAATCTAACGAAGCCTTCCCAGAAGAGTAGAGGCTGATACTGCAGCAAAGAGGGGCAAACTCCCTATTAATACCCTTCAGAAGAAACACTGACTGAGCAGGTGTCTACAAACTTTTGGCCATAAAGCGTAGTCTGAAAGAATCTCTAGATCAGCCTTTGCGTGTCCAACCCTGCCCTGACAAGCCCTTAGCCAGTCCATTAGCCCTACACCATGGCACTGGCTGGCCTTATCAAGAGCCTTATCAGACCTATTCAGTCGCTCAGCTCCGCAGTTGCAGGTGCTTGGGTTGCCCAGCAACAGCACAGCTTGGAAACTGTCACCATGGCGATGCATGAAATGGAACATACATGCACGGAAGAAGGCAAACAAGAAAGCATGTGTTGAAAGAGAGGCGTTGGCTTTGCTGCCGGAACAAGGATCTGCTCTTGATCCTTTAACACAAACACAGTTCATATCATTAGGCGTGGAAACGGTGAGGAAGATAAGAGGGTTTGTTTTGGTTTTATACAGTGCAGTGTTGGCACACCTTTCGATTGAGCATTATGCAAAGTGAAATTTACTGGCCTACATTTCTGTCTGGCAATGATTAGTTAATTGTTATTGGCATGACTGGACTGACCTGAAATCAAGGCTGACTTGTGAGGTTTCATAGCTCTTGCTAGTAGTGCTGGGAGCAATATTGTTCATGCTGATATACTGTGATATTGAATTCTTGCATAATTCATTGGTTGAGATATAAAGTTTTTCAGAGTCGTTTGATGTGAAATTGTTCATTGCAGAGTCAGCTTTCTTTACAGTGGTGGTGATAGGAACCAGGGGTCAAGATGTCTACAACACAAATGTAGCCATTTTATTTACTATCCAAAACAACCAGTAAACATACATGTGTCTTCTGAGTTTTGTACTGTTGATAAAGGTAAAATTGTGGTAAAGACCAAAATAATAAGGATTTCTTCAGCTACACCAAATTACTGTATTTAGCTCAACACCTTATCTCAGCCTCTCAGTCTCTTTCTCTCTCACATACTCTCTCATTTTCTCTCAGAGGCTCATTGACAGTCCAGAAATGCCTGGTAGTGAAGCACTATGCCTTCAGAATAAATGGGAATGATACCTGCAATAAGCTACAGGTGAGTTTAATATTAACTCCTCTTTTGCTTGTAAAATGTGACAAGATTAAATGTCTCCACTGCCATTTGTTTTTTAGTCATGTCCAGTTCCACACACAACTCCCCATAGTATGCAGTGCTACCAAGGTGGGAGGGTGAAGGCCAGCATGTGGTTCCTCTGACACACCGGCCACCTTATGGCCACTAACACGATGACATTGGGCAGCTTAACACGGATTGAGGAGAACTTGTAACTGCCAGTTTCTTATGTCAGCTAACAGACACCCACAATGGTTAGCATCACTGGGTGATTGGGGTGGGGGGGGGGCAATTATGCTCTCTTGGACTCAGCACAGATGGCTGTGGCATCACCAGGGACTGAACTTGTGATGACCTGACAATAGGGCCAACACTAACACTGTATCCTAACAGCAAGCAAGCGTTCAAATGTAGTATCGCATTGCATCACAAAGCCTTCAGGATGTCAAGTCAAAATGTAAACAAATCACAAACCTATCAGAAAATAGCTGAAGGCTTTAAATAAAATGGGCAGATATAGTTCAGTTGAACCTGCTGGCTTGTATCTGCTAAGTCTACTTAGCTAATTAGTGTCAGCTGAGTATCTTCATCAATCAGTGATAGGAAATAACTCCAGCACTCTGGCAGTTTCCCTCCAAAATGTTTAATTCTGTGTATATTCTTATACTACTTACTGGAAGGATCGTAGAGATCCCTTCTTTTCTCTACTTCATGAATGAGTTTCTCCTCATCCATTCTGAGGTGGAATGGCAGGGCATTGTCGTTGTCACTCGGTAGCATCACTTGCTATTAGGGCAAGGGGTTCCCACCAGTTCCCTTTAAAGCAAACCAATCGATGTAGATACGTATGCCCTTAAATTTAAATAATAATTATTATGCATTTCATTGCATGTTTGTATGCATGCTTGTGTGTTACAGACACTCTGGAATGTGGAGTGTGATGTGTGGTGGGATGAAGCTGTGGACAATGCGTCAGACGAGTGTGACCCTGAGTGGATGGATGCTGAAGACCCACTCTTCATCCTCTACACCAGCGGCTCCACCGGCAAACCAAAGGCAAGAGCATTCATTGTTTACTTAAGATCTATGACCTTCAAGCTGGCGGTATACTTCAAAAGACTATGGCAGAACACACTGTCGTAGGTATTCTTAGTTCTGCTAGAACCTCTGGACAAATTGCAGTTGGAAGAGAATGAATGATGCGCTCAGTAGGGACAGTCGTGGTCAGGGGAGGTCTTGGAACAAACAGTGCAGTTTATACGATCAATCACAGTCGGAGAAAGGTCTCAAAAGGGATGACACAGTGATTGGCTCTAATTGCGGTCAGGGTAGGTCTCAGGTAGAATTATGCAGTGATTAGGACACAGTTAGAGGTGTTTTCAGTACCAGCAACATGGTGAACAACGTAAAATCAATGTTTTCTGTCGTTTACTGCCAGCTTTAGTATCATTCTGAATTCATTACAGGGCTTTTTTTAGTGCATCAAAGCATTTTTAGATGCAAAGCACCTCATTGACCTGGCTTTAATTCACTTAGTCATGTTCAGCAGACTGAAAATTTACCATTAGCAGCGTAATATAGTATCAAATAGTATTTGGTTTTTCATAAGAGCAGTACTTTACGTCAGTGACACTTTCATTGCTACATTGCTGCAGGACAGCCCATCACAACAACCTGCGACATACACACTAACACTTAAAACATCATGTGAGATTGAATAAAATATCAAAAAACACCTTTAGCTGTCTAGTTTGTAAGGGTGTTACGATACACATATTTTCAGGTTTGATTTGAAGTTTGACCCTTAGGTGGAGATTTGCTTTTACTTTCAGTATTGTATGTTTTAAAAATGTATTGATCCTACAGAGCTCTATTATTATGAGCTCTCAAAAGGAACTTTGTAAATGCCTCCTGTGCCAGCCCACAAAAAAAACTCCACAAATCACAATTTAAAACCCCACCCACTTTGACTGAATGTACCCAGATGCTTCATTTTGATCATTGAGTCCCTGAAAGATGGCAAAAATTAGATTTTTCAATGCTGCATTGAAATTACACCCTTACTAGTTTCTTGTAGTTTTAATCTTGTATTGCGGTGGGCAGTATGAAGACATTTATCATTAGCAGAATAAATGAATAATAGGCTTTTCTAAGCATAACATGGATATCGTCAGTACTTAAAGAATAATGAATGATCACACTTTGTTAAATAGTTCTGTTTATTTGTAATTGTAATCTGTTTAATTGTTTTTAGTGCAGTGTGTGAAACATTGAATGAAAATCATTGTTTTCATATTTTGTATGTGTTTTTGTCTGTTCCAACATGTCACACCTCAGAAAAACTAAACATCGTGATGCATCATATTATCCTCTTTGTGCTCATAGGGAGTGCTGCACACCATTGCAGGCTACCTGCTCTACACATCCCTCACATTCAAATACGTCTTTGATCATCACCATGACGACGTGTACTGGTGCACCGCAGACATCGGCTGGATCACAGGCCACTCCTACATCACATATGGCCCGTTAGCCAACGGGGCTACCAGCGTGCTTGTGAGTCTAACATATAGTCTGGTTTCATTCAGTCTGTGAGTGAGCACATTTACATGATTGAAGGGATAGTTTGCACAATTTCGCCTTACCCCAAAGACAGCAGCATGTCACAAACCACATTAGCAGGTCTATCTAAGATTACTTAGCTACAAAGGTGGTTTGATGGAAGTGTGCGGATACAGCCATTAGTTGGCACAATAAGTGAAGTAAGCTTTCATTACTTGTTAGCTACGCTAGCCTTGTAACTTGAGGGCAAAACTATCTACTCAGCTAGAAAAACCAGCATAGACTTGCGTAGCTGGTCACCAACAAAACTAGCATATGTTGTGTTTTGGATGCTGATATGCTGGTCAACCAGCATGACCATGCTGATTGACCATCTAAACCAGCACCAGATCGGCACAGACCAACATTAAATGCATGGTGGTCTGTGCTGTTTTTTTTTCAGCAGGGTAAGCAAACAGTAGTAGTAGCCATCTTCATACCTGTATTGTGTCTGTTTTTTTGACCATTTTTATAGATAACAGTATGTTACATAGAGTCAGAAACTAAAGTATGAATGCTATATTGAAGCGAGTGTGATAATGAACCCAGATAACATATCAGATATCATATATGGGTTTACTGGCTTCATAAGTTTAGCACCCCTCTGACTGTATACCACTGCTGTTCCACCGATTATTGATCTTTGTCCTGCGTCCAAGATGTACCTTGTCTTTTAATCTCCTCAAACAGATTTTAAATACATATAGCATTTTACTTTGGAAAATAAACTGAGACAATTATTGCAAAAAACTGAGTGAAAAATAATGACTAGACCTAAATATAGATGATTTTATTGAAAATGTTGTGGCTGACGCTGTGCTAGATTGGTTACAGTGGCATAAATGGCTTTAATTATGATCAGTGTTAAAATTATTTAATAAACTAATTTACAAAGGAAACAAAAGAAAAAAATGGAAGAAAAATAAGTAAAATTAAAGAAATTTAAATAAGTAAAATGAAAGAAATAAAGGAAATTGGACTGTGAGTTCAAAATAAGTAATAAAAAGTAGCATTTTGTTTAATACTCTGCTTAAACACTATTGGGCCACCCAGAAAACACTGAGTAAAAAGCCAGTGGGCCGCCAGCTTTGCCATCAGTGGGCCAACAGTGGCCCACTATCCTCTGGGTAGTTTGTATGATGCTAAACTAGTAGCTTGTTAGCTACATTAGCCATATAGCTTCAGTGCACAACTAAAGAAGCAAACAGTTGCAAGTAGCCATCTTCAAATCTGAATTTTGTCTGTACTTTTGTCAGTTTTCATAGAGAACAGTAAGTCATTCAGTGTCATAATCAGGTCTACTTTGAGGTTGTTCAACAAGGTTTGATGCTAGTTAGAGGCAAATATGTGATAATGCAGTTTATCTTAGACTAAACTAGTAGTGTTAGCTACATAAGGTGAAAGCTGTATAAAGTCTTTCACCCAACTATTCTTTTAATACATCTTGAACACTCATTAAGACCAGTGTTTTATGTGCATGTGTGACAGTTTGAAGGCATTCCAGTCTACCCTCACGTGGGCAGGTTTTGGGAGATCATTGAGAAGTACAGAGTGTCTAAGTTCTACACAGCACCCACTGCCATCAGACTGCTCATGAAGTACGGCAGAGAGCCTTTACAAAAGTGAGTTACAGCGGAACACTCAGTGCACACATTGCTGTACACAGTGCTGTTTGTCTTGTAGTGCCGTCAAGGATGAAGAATAACAGAGACCATGTTAGTTATCAGCATTACGTATTTAAAAACCAAAAGGCAACCACAGCCTTTTAGGGTTGCAGATGCTAATGAAGATGGGTTGATTGCTAGAAATAAAGTAGTGTAATATGGAAAAGTCGAGGAAAAAAACAAGAATTTCCAAAGTTGGACAGCCTTGCAAGGCCTCACAGACCATTATTTGTTGTCATCAGATAAACAGTACTTAAAGGTTTTTATTACTGGGAGATAGAAGCAAATCAAGCCCTACTTTTGCTTTTGTAGAAGATCCTCAGCAACATAGAATGTATTTGGTATACTTACATTTGGTAATACTTGGTTTGAGGGAAGCAGTAAGTATAAGCAACATCTAAGACTGAACTTTGAAGGTGTACAAAAAGATCCCTGTAGATTTCTTTGAAAAACTAAAAGCAAGTCACCTGAAAGAATGGAAGCTGTTATAAAGGCAAAGCGTGGGCACACTTAATACCGAAAATTTGACATTATATGCAGTTGTTGAGGCTTCTGCGTGATTTTCTTTAAAAAAAACTGTCGCTGTCCAAATTAAAACATGTATCTACAAAACAGTAACTTTACAGAAGAAGGCAAAAATGTTCTACACTTTCAATGTAAGTTAAAGCAGTTTTTTCAGGTGATTTTATAGCATTTCTATTGATCTGTGCATCATAAAATTTTGCGTACAATGTAAAGGACAGCCATCATGTTTAAATGATGTAGAAAAATAAAAATTGCCAAAATGGAGATACATGTTTACACAGCGACAGTGTGTTTTCTGCTTTTTCCTAAAGCTCAATGCTTTCCGAAAGAATGAGGTGTACTTAATGGTGATTCTGACTGTATGGTCCAGTACATCTGCTACGTTTGTATCATATTGTAGTGTCAGCGAAGAAGACGACCAAGAAACACTGTGCATGTTACCAATTACCACAGACAGTAATTTCACTGTACTTTAAGAAGAACAGCAAATCAATTGACTTCCAACACACAATCGAAGTCAAAGGACAGGTGCTTACATTGGCTTCTACTGTCAGTGTGTTCTTCTGTTCTTTTACTAAGTAAAGGGAAATGTTCAGATTTATTATCTGAGGTAATTGAATCTGTGATACAAATGCAGCAAACAAAGATCAGGTCAAAAATACTGAGTGAGTTTTCCTTCGAGAGCATTTTGACAGGGAGGAATTTTCATGCAACCCATTTCCCCTCAACACAACAAGAATATAGCAAAACAGAAAAGCCAAATATGATACACTAACAATACAGTGACCATGATCTCCAGACGCCACTGAAAACAGCCCACACTTCATTTTAGACGTGAATATATGCCCTTGAAACAGAGAGCAATTCAAAGTAATGGAAAGTGACTGGAATGTGTTTAGAGAGCATGCGGTTCTTTAGATTTAGTCAGTGATTGCTTTTTCAATCTGACAGTGTGCAGTGAAACACCGTTTAAAAGAACTTTTCAAGCCTGAATAACATCTATAACAGTTGTCATTTTCAAAAATTACAATTTTCCATTCACGTATTGACTACAGGTGCTCACAAATGACACAATTTGATAGTAATCTACAGTCTGCATCAGCAGGTTTCTCTGATTCTTTTGCTGTTTGATAGCTGTGGTTAAAGTCACAGTGCAATTTCTGCTATAAGACTAACACATCGAACTGAATGGCATGACAGGGTTCATAGGGTTCATTCACAAGCTCTGCTTGGCTAGAACAATGCAATTGTTGCTGCTACTGCCACCTACTGGAGAGAAAATGACACACAAGTGGAGAATGATCAAGAGTAGAGAATGAATCATTGAGTTACGGCTGCTTACATGTTTTGCAGTGTCTGCAGTTGTTTGGGTTTTTTTCTGACCTCAGAATTTCTCCAGTTTTTCAATACACCTTAATGTCTCGTTCTCAGATATGATCTGTCCAGTTTGCGGGTGCTGGGCACTGTGGGAGAGCCCATTAACCCAGAGGCCTGGATGTGGTATCATGATGCGGTAGGGCAGGGGAAGTGCCCTGTTGTTGACACCTTTTGGCAGACTGAGACGGTAAACCACATACTAAGTGGAATCTAATGCAGTGTTCACACTACAAACTGCATTGCTCAATTCAGATTTTTTGTAAAGCTGATTTTTCTGCCTTGATGGTTCACATTCTGATTCTGATTCGCGTTTCAGATTTGTTCAGATATTTATTTGTTTGTCATCAGCTGTTAAAAAAAAGTACAGGGCCACATATTAAATATGTTTCCGATCTTTTAGCACATATAGTCATATGCAAAAGTTTGGGCACCCCGGTCTGATTACATGTTTTGGTTTTTGGTAATTAAGTTAATACATCCTCTACACTTCTGCACATTTAGTGCACAATTACTGTTCATTCACTGAATGTAACATAGAGGGGAATAAAATAAAAGTGTGTCCTTTGCAAAAGTTATGGCACGTTATATTTAATCGTTTTCCATTATATTACTCAGTGAATAAATACATTTGCACAAAAATGCCATATTGACCAGGGGTGCCCAAATTTTTACATACGACAGTATCAACATTGCTCAAATTAGATTGTGTTCATACTGCTCCGAAAAAAACATCTAGGCAAAAAAATCGGATTTGTGCCCAGTAATGTGAACGTATTATTAAATCTTCACTCATTGGCCATTTTATCAGAAACACATACCATATAGGTGCACTTTATAGGTTTCCAGTTACTGACTGTAGCTTATCTGTTGCTGCAGTTTACTCTACCCCATGGTGGACCACCATAAGACCACCACTGACCACATATTGTACGAGTGGTGGATCATTCTCAACACAGCAGTGACACCAATATGATATCACTGCTGTGCTGAGAGTGATACTCCAATTAAATGTGTACAAGAAACAAAAACAAGTATGAGTTTAAATGTGCTTCTTATGTCTGGCTTGTAAAGGTCCTGTGTTTTCTCTGTAGGGAGGTCATGTTCTGACTCCTCTGCCCGCTGCCACACCGCTAAAGCCAGGCTCTGCAGTAAGTCTGTTCAAGCAGGCCTTATTTTGTTCTCTTTTAACTAATAAAATCAGTAAATTCATGAATAAATTAATTGATACATGGCCTATCAATTTAGGCAGTCAAAGCAGTCCGTTTAGGCACTACTATAACATCAGGACTATCAGTTGGTTTGGTAATGTTTATTTGAAGAGTGGAGTTGGGAGTAAACAGTGTTTTTTAAAAAGAAATGTCTTTTTTTCAGACTTTGCCATTTTTCGGTGTGCTGCCTATCATCCTGAATGAACATGGAGAGGAGCTGGAGGGGGAGGCAGAGGGCTACCTGGTGAGAGGAACAGAGCTTATACTGTTAGGGAGAACCGTCCTTTGACGCTGATCTGAGAGCAGCTTTGATACACCATTTAAAATAATACAGATTGAGAACTTGGACGGGAAGGGGGAGACTGACCCTGCATCAGCGTTGTAACATTTGATTTACATCAGCTGTTTGTAAAATGTTGCATGGATCAGTGAGATGATGTTTGTTTTCTGTTTTCAAAAACCTTCTTCATTAACATTAATAACGTGTTTGATGTAGAAAGACATTAGAATAAATCTCTTATATGAAACACATTTTACTCATTTCAGGATTAAAGGGTACGTATTTTACAGTTTTATAGTATTTAATTTTTAATCCAGAAGTGTTTGTCTAGGCTTAAACACCAAAGGAGTCATAATTTTCATTTTTACCTGAGATTTTCCGTCCTCTCCTTTTCCCTTAGAATTTGTTCCTGTTTTTGTTTCTATGCTTTTAAGACTGATTTATGTAAATGAGCCATGTTCTTATTGGCTGCCCTGTATTTTGTCTGATTCAGAGCTGAGTTGCTGTAGGCTGAATAGGCAGATGTATGTAAACATGCTGGTTTTCATGACATCAGAAGAACAATTATTTCAAAACATGCGGTTTTTGCAGCTTAGTTTTCATATATGGGTTGTACGTATAATAATTAATTATATTATAATACAATTATATAACTGTATAAAATCAAAATTTAAAAAAGCAAAGAGACTTCATTTTTCCATGATATGAGCCCTTTGAATGCATTCTGAGAGATGTTTTGGCTTGAGGTTAAAAAGGCTGGTGTAAATTTGTTTATTAATTTATAATAAAATAATACAAATTACAATAAGAGATTTAAAAACTAGAATTATAGTAGATATAAAAAATAATCAGATTTCTTTTTGTATATTTGATGCTATTTTTACAACTTTAGTTTGAAGAAAAGCTAGTATTATTTAAAGTCAGTAGAGAGACAAAGGGCCTTGATCTGCCTGAATTTCATTCCAGGTTTTTAAGAAGCCCTGGCCGGGTATCATGCGAGGCGTGTATGGAAATCAGGAACGTTTCGAGAACACCTACTTCAAGAAGTTCCCAGGGTTTTATGTGACAGGAGATGGTATGTTTTAAACTTAGACCAGTACCACAACATTTTACACTATACAACCATTGTTATTCAGCAGTGTAGAGAATATGGATATGGGTGGTATATAAATGAGGATTCTGCATATATGCATTAGATTCTTTATATATATATATATATATAGAGATAGATAGATAGATAGATAGATAGATAGATATTACATATAACCAGACATATAACTTTGGCACGGTGTTGCAGCGGGACAGTGTTGTGTTTGTGCTGACGTGGCCTGTTCTCTGTCCTTGTGTCCTCAGGATGCAGGAGGGATAAGGATGGCTACTACTGGATCACAGGCAGGATAGATGACATGCTCAATGTCTCTGGTAAGGCCAGGCCCAGTTGAACACTAATGCTGCCCCCTAGTGGCACCACATGTAGGGTCTTAGATGTGCTGCAGACACATCTGGTTGTTGTAGAAGTTATTATACAGCTACATTGTATGCTATTTTAAATACTCTGACCAGCCACTTTATTAAGTATGCCTTACACTCTTACACTCCATTTTATCAGCTCCACCATATAGGTGCACTTTGTAGTTCTACCATTACACCATTCGTGGACTGTAGTCCACTTGTTTCTCTGCATACTTTGTTAGCCCCCTTTAACTCTGTCATTCAATGGTTAGGACATCCACAGGACCACCATAGAGCAGGTATTTTCTGGGTGGTGGATCATTTTCAGAGCTGCAGTGACACTGATGTGATGGTGGTGTGTTAGTGTGTGTTTTGCTGGTACGAGTGGATCTGACACAGCAGTGCTGCTAGAGTTTTTACACTGTATCCACTCACTGTCCACTTTATTAGACACTCCTACCTTGTTGGCCCACTTTAGTTTCTGCACAGTTTGTGTTGGTCATTCTCTAGTCCTTCATCAGTGGTCACAGGACATTGCCCACAGAACACTGTTGGCTGGATATTTTTGGATGGTGGTCTATTCTCAGTCCAGCAGTGACACTAGGGTGTTTATAAACTTTAGCTGAGAATGATCCACTACCCAAACAATACCTGCTCTCTGGTGGTCCTGACCACTGAAGAACAAGGTGAAAAGGGGCTAACACAGTATGCAGAGAAAGAGATGGACTACAGTCTGTAATTGTAGAGCTACAAAGTGCACTTACATTGTAAGTGGAGCTGTTGAAATGGACAATGAGTGTACATATAAGGATGTGTACATAATGAAGTGGCCAGTCAGCAAATAATTTAAAATAAACAGTAACAGTAGCATCCCACCCCTCCCACTCCTCTCTCAGGTCACTTGCTGAGCACAGCTGAGGTGGAGGCAGCATTATCAGAACACTCGGCCGTTGCCGAGGCAGCAGTGGTCAGCCGTCCACACACAGTGAAGGGGGAGTGCCTCTACTGCTTTGTCACTCTGAAAGACTGCAGAGAGTTCAACCATTCACTAATGGATGAGCTCAAGAGGAAAGGTAAGAGCATAGCTAGAACAGAAGCTTGAGATTTTTATTTCTTATGGTTTATGATGTTATTTAAATTCATTTGTTTTTGTTTTGTTTTGTCAGTGAGGGAGAAGATTGGCCCAATAGCCACTCCAGACTTCATCCAGAATGCCCCAGGCCTGCCCAAAACTCGCTCAGGTTTGAACCTCAGCTGAATCTGTCCTTCTTCTGGGGCCCTCCTCTTCTCTCTAAGCACAGGTTCCTAGCCCTAGTCCTTGAGGACCCCCTGCTCTAACATACCTAGCTCACCTCAGGAAGGACTTATTAATTAGCTGTTTGACTCAGGTGTGTTGGGAGCAGGGAAAAACACTAAAATGTACAGGGCGGGGGTACTTAGGACAAGAGTTGGGGACCACTGCTTTAAAGGAACAGTCATATTATTCTGGATTTTAAGAATTTGAGCTATTTAATGTGTCACTCAATACATAAAACAATACAATTACAAACAGCACATGTACAGATGGGCTTCAGTCAGTAACTGTACACCAGCAAGGTGAAGCTACAGTGTTAGGGGTTTCTAATAATGTGGCCAGTGAATGGATTAATACAGTTCACTTAGAACAGGGCTGGAAGTTTTCTGTCCTGTCATGCACACATGATTTATCAGTTAATTATCAAGCTCTTAAAGGAGTCCAGTCAAAATATACACTATTTTCTCTTTATCCCAAACCTAGTTGACCAGCAAAATATGTGCAGTGTCCGAGTTTGCTTCCTTAGTTTTGCACTGGAGCTAAAAGGCTAATATAATAGCAGTCTGTGTCACTGAAAAGATTTTGGGAGACATCTATTGCTTTTTAGCTACATTAGTCTCATAGTTCCAGCACAGAATTAAGAAGCAAATGTTGGACATTAAACATCTTGACCGATTAACTATGATCAAGGAGAGAACTGTATAAATTTGTTTGAACTGGTTTGAATCTAGATCAGGGGAGACACCAAACTGGGAGATGCTGTGGCCTTCCAGCTTCCCATTTCATTTCTTTCTCTCACTGTTGCAATATTTCATCAAAGTCAGGGTTGTGATGAAAAATCCAAAACGGACTCCCTCCCTCACATAAAAACAAGGGTTTGAGAGGTTGCCAGCAGAATCTTCTCTCCATCTTTTTGAGAATCGAAATGCCCTTCAAGGTGGTGGTGGGAATTCTCCTGAGGGCAGGTGCAGAGGGAGTCTGGGAGTGCCTTTCTTTTTTAGAATCGTAATGCAGAGCAGGACTGGAATCGCTCTCTTTTGGCATTTAGTGTATATTCTTAAACCCTGTCTCCTCTCCCCCTGCAGGTAAGATCATGCGGCGTGTCCTGAGGCAGATCGCCCGGAACGAGAAGGACCTGGGCGACCTCTCCACTCTGGCTGACCCCAAGGTTGTGGAAGTGCTCTTGAGCCAAAGATGTGAGGCAGCAGCATAAGAGCTCTCTCTTGTCTGCCTTTCTTCGTCCAACCCCCTGCTGGCCCGGCCCTGGAACAGCTTTAACCCATAGTGACTCAGCTGATCCCAGATCAGAGCTAGAAGGGACATTTTCTTTTGCTTAGGTCACCTTCACCTTTGACACAGGGACAATAATAAGGTGACAAACTGGTGCAGATCATGAACCATGCAGTGCAATAACAGTTCCAATGATGTCTCATGTTTTCTTTGTCTTCTGATTGGGCTGCAGTCAGTTCCACTGAGCTTTCCACTGTCAATCACATTCATGTTGTGACAGTTCTGACATTCTTACTAATTATATGCCAGTATCGCGTTTTGTTAATACCAGATTTGCGTTTGTCGTCTCGTGAAATATGTCTACACTAAACTGTGAGGCAAATTCAGTAAAGCCATAATTTTCAATGAAAAAGGAATCGACGCAGGGCCAAATGTACACATTGAGTTTTGTGTAATACACAGTACTTGGTTAATGCATTTAACATGATCCAGTTATTGATCATACTACAGAACATGCATTTGCCAACATTTTAACAAACATCTAAAAGCTGTAATTAATCTGGTCCATAATTGCATGCCCTAGCAAAGTGGCATTCACTTTATTTGATTTTAGCCTGTTTTTCATGCATATAATAAAGAGTTTATTGATTGTATTCTAAAGCTTTCATAATAAATCTTGCCCTTTGGGTAATTTATTAAAAGCACCTCAAGAGATTTCTATAGTGAATCTGGTTTATGGGGAGATTATTAACCAGATTTTGCCATCAAAACTTCATGTAATGTAAAATGCAAAACATGAAAGAATTTGAAAGATATGCAGTATTATGCAAAAGTCAGAGACCACCCTTCATGTATTACATTTCCAGACAAAACACTCATTAAGTACAAATTAAAATTTTTCAGGAGATATTTCTGAAGACATTAAATATAAAATAATCCACTTGCATACAGAAGGAGAAATTCAAAGGAAAAATGGGTGAAAAAAACAGGGGCATCCAAAACTGGAGTTTTGAAAAAAGATGAAAAGATACAGAGAAAAAGAATCCTGACAACCACACACAACCTGGTAGACCACCAAAACAGTAACCATCAGGTAAACGGTTCTTATCATCTTTGGCAGATAGGAGAAAACCAAGCTCCACTCTTGCTTCTGATCTGAAAAAACTGACAGGTGTTTTGTCCATCCTTCCAGTGTGATTTACATCACAAAGATTCAACAGCATTTTACAATCATACAGTGAATTATTGCAGACAATACTTTCAACTCATTTTCTTGTAAAGAACAGAAAAGCTGTTAACTCAATTTACTCACAATAGAGGCCAATGATCAGGTGTTGACACATCTGCCCATTGACTTACTCTTTAAATGTTGTTCAAGTTTGCAGGGTTTTTTTTTGTTCTGCTCCATTTTAAAGTATTTTTTCCAATCTAAACCATTTTTTGGAAGCTCTGCACAAACAGATGCCAAAAAGGCTGGTCGCCTTCATATTTCCTTGTAGAAATTTATGTGCAATTACATAACATAATCTTTAGGGTTATTCAGTGTATCTGAATAGGTCTACAACCTATAATGCTGATGCAATATTTTGTCCAGAGGTACATAGTGTTGCCTAATGTAACATTTGATTTACATCTCTGCATTTTTATTATTTGCATCTGATTACTTGGCATTACATTCCATATTATGCTGGATTTGATGTTATAGGACTTCAACCAAAGACACACAGTCTAAAGACACCAGCTGAAAGCATGCGATCACCATGAGAGTAATAAATGGCATTTCCGAAGATCAACTATATCGCCTATAGTTCCAAAGCTGATACGTTTTGTGCTAAATACATCGCCCCATTGAGTCAAAATATGCATAATGCTACACACATGCTACTGATAAGCCAACTGAAATCATTTTGCATCAAAATAATGCTGTGTTCGACTTGGCTCGGAAGTGAGAAGTCTGAGCTTGGAATTAGCTACAATGTGGGAGAAAAGATGTCTGTCTTCATGAAAGGAAGTGTTAGCCACAAGCTAGTCAGATAACATTAGAAATATGTGTAATAACTTCAATGTCTGTGATGTATTTACCTAGTTTAACCAGTTACTGTATCTGTATCTTTTTAAACATAATTTAAAAGTAGAGAAGTAGTTCTTTAGTACTACTGATGATGTGATCAGCCACTGTGACTTGAAGTCATGCTTTGAGGTCAGAGGTGAGCACACGTTTCCAATTTTGGGAGTAGGAATTCCCAGTTGAGGGTGTGTTTTCTTTAATTTTGTGGAAAATTTTTGAGTTATGAGTAGAATGCAGCATAAGTCTACTATTAAACAACTATAACTACATTAGCAGCTCAAACCATAAGATATTTACTATAGAAGGGGAGCATGCTAGCTAGTCAGGCGCTGCCTGTATGTGTGTGCTTTAGATCAGCAACAGGGAACCAATGGGTGACGATTGTAGAAGTCACTCCTAGAGAGAAATGAAAGAGAGTAGAAAGGTAAATGTTCAGTAAACAAAACACCATCAATAACATGACAATTCTCGTTATTGATCAGGCATTCAAATAAAATGATACGAGCTACAGCAGCATTCATGACGACACACAGCAGCACAGTTAAAGCTGCAGAATGAACGCAGCAAAGCTAAACAGTAAATATTTGAAAAAAGACTAAGGAGAGGCCATATGTTCAGAGAAAGTACACAAAAATAAAGCCTTCAGTGTCTCAAAGGAAAAGAAAAAAAGGGAACTTTTATATTGTATTTAGACAAAAAAATGAAAAGAAAGTACTTGTTGCCACAAGGCAACACCATGCAGCAGAGGGTTCATTATATATTATAGTGTATATATATTATATACATAAACCTTTAGCCTACATTAGAGTAGGGGTGGGAACATCTAGGCACCTCACGATTCGATTAGATTCCAATTCAGAGGGCTGCGATGCGATTATAAAACGATTATCGATGCATCTTTTTTTCTGTGTGACAGCTTGGAACTTTTAAAGCAAAGCATTTGTAATAGTCCATAATGAATTTACTTCCAATATCCTTTATTAATAAAAAAAATGGAAGTGATGTGCCAAGTGAATTGGAAGACTCTCATTCACTGCTCTTGTTTGGAGCACATGAGACACTGGCTGCCACTCATCTGCGATAAAATGCAGTTACGGTGGAATGAGATCCTGTGGCAATAGATGTCCACACAGCAGGTTACAGCTACTCTACCCGTTTTATTCAGTGATTTCATAACTTCGGTTCTGATCTCGTTGTTAAGAGTGGGGATCGCTGTGTCAGCAAAATATCTTCGAGACGGGATGCTGTATCTCAGCTCCAAAGTGTGCAACGGAGCGCGAAAGCCCTGATTCTCAAAGACTGAGTACAGATGCAAATCCTTGGAAATAAACGCTGCAATAGAGTTTGTAGTTCGCTTCGTCCTTTCCGAGTTGGGTGGAAGCTTTGACATTGCTTACTTGATGGTCCTCTGGTTGGCAGCAACTACAACCAGGTGGAAAATGGGTGGGAACATGTAATATGGTTTTCCCTCTTAACTCCAAAGAAGCCAAAGTGTTTCCATATGCTAGGTCAGGGGTCAGCAACCTGCGGCTCTTTTACTGGCCTGTGCCTCCACAGCAGAATTAGATTTGTAGGTAAAAATAAAATAATCTTCCTTTGCAGTAAAATAAAGCTCTGTTGATTGTTCAAACACAGTTTTAACAATAAATGATCTTAAAAGCTGGAATTAATGTAGTCTATAACTGCTAGTTCACCTATTTAGTAGCTAATGAAAAGGCAAAGAGAAAGACGAACATGGATAATTTGGAGACGAATAGACTTATTTGCATTTATAAGCACTCCAGCTGGTTTCCTCATACATTTAATCTGCAACGAGAAACTGTCAAACACTAAAAAAACATGAAGCCGAAGTCAGTTTCTCCTTCTCCAGCTTATTGTTTGAATTATCCCGTTCCACGTTAAATGGTGCAGCAGTTACATTCTGGTGCCTCAGGCACTATTTAAGGTGGAACGGGAAAATTCGAATGAGAAGCGACTTCAGCCTCGTAAAAAGTCGTTGAGAGATATTTTACAAGAAACTATTCTACTTTTGTGGAAAAGTTTTCAGCTCGTGATGCAAGAAAAGCGGCTACAGCTGTGCTAAAGCTTAAAGCAGAGCAAAGTTAAGTCTGCATTTTTGTTTGTATTTTATTTTCACCCTACACTAGGACATTAGCACATACTGATACACATGTACAGCCAAGATGGCAAAATGGAGTCAAAATGTTGTGGCTCCCAAGGTGGTTTGATTTTTGTTGAAAAAAGACAAAATGACTCTTATTGACATTTGGGTTGCGACCCCTGCACTAGCTTTTAATGTAGTGTGCCGTCACAGACTGTCCGGGCGCTGCACTTCACACTTTGAAAAGTTCCGCCTTTTGCATTCTGTCAACATTACGTTATTAATTAAAATTTAGAAAATCGATTTTAGACATTGGTGAATCGATTCAGAATCGTCCATGTCCGCATCACGATGCATCTAAGAATCAACCCCCCCCACCCCCCACCCCTACATTAGAGCACACATTTGGTTAAGACACAGCAATATGTAAACAAGCAAATAATTCTCATATTTTTTCATTCATTCAAAGTAATATTTGTGCGGGGAAACCCATTCATTTTTTCAAGATTCCAGTCATAGTCAAAGGTTTTAACACAATTAACATCCTCAACAGAGAACAAAGTTCATCCTTACAGAGAAGAAACTTCTTTACATTTTAATGCACAATTACTGTTGATTTGCTGATTTTAACATATCAGGAGGAAAAAAAAAACATTTTGCAGCCTGTGCAAAAATGATGGTACTTTATTTTAGAAATTGTGCACTAAAGTTTGCAGAAAAATGTCATATTTGTGTTCCCTGTAGAGGATGTGTTAACTTATTTTCACTTAGAATATCCACAAGCATAAAAGTTGTTCAGGGTTATTCAAACTTTTGCATATGACTGTAGGCCACTAGGAATGAAAACCCATCAACATCAACATAATCTTCTGCATGCAAGCTTAGCACATTCTGTGAGTCCAAATGTTACGAAATCCAATTCCCACTTATTCAATTTGCAAAGACGGTCACAGACTGAGAAGGGATTATGCTTTACAGCGACAGTTTGTGTATATGTATCTGTGCATGTGTGTGCATGTTTAAACAGGGTTGATTTTGGAAAGACTAATTAAAATGATGGGAAAGAGCTTACATTTGCATTTAAAGTAAGACTGTGCCATTAGATTAAAAGAGATGTTCCATCTAGCCCACTTTGCTTTAGCGGGACATCCCGGTCAATTTGGAGGATTGAAAACAGAAGGACCGGGCAACAAGATAAGCATGGAAATTCGTTCACATAAATGAGATCAGCTAATTGCATTGCATTGCATCGGCTCAAAACTCAACCAGGGAACCCAGCTAGAGCTTTGAATAAGAGGGCTGAACGTGAGATATGATTTATTAGGCACTGGGCCCCTACAAGCTCAGTATAAAACAATACAGAACACTTGTCTGAAGACCAAAGACAGTTTTATGACAACACAAAAAGGAAATGACTAGAGAAGACATAATTTATTTCATTCTCCAAGGCACGAAGCAGGTATACTAGGCTGAATACTAACATT